TTGGGGACAATTGCTTCGGTTCCTTTACGGCCAATGGAACTTTGACGTACTCTCATCCAGGACATGGGCAATAATTGTTGTTTCTGTAACAGAGTGCTTGGAACTTCGGTAATTTAATTTTTACACGGTCGATTTATTGCAGACACGGTAACCATAAAGTCGATAGCTTCTACCAGCTAATATTAAACGTGCATATGTGTGTGTGTGTGCGTGTGTGTGTGTGTGTGTGTGCGTGTGTGTGTGTGTGCGTGTGTGTGTGTGTATTTAAAGTCGACATACGTAACTATTTACATGCACACACGAACGCACACATACACGTTTCTATATGTATATTTGTGTCTGTAAGAATGCGTAAGGCTGGCCTTGTTAAGAAAATAGTTCTCGCAAAATAATCGAAAATAATGAATTACATATGTAAGTAATTCATTATTTATCGTGTATTTGCCAAGAACTGTTTTCGACGTTAAATAACAAATGTTGCGAAATGATTAATAATGTAATTATGGCTGGTAAAACAATATTTTTATATGCATATAAAGCCTTGTCCAGATATGTAAATGCAAAAGACTGAAGGAAGCTTTTCCGTCTAAATAAAGTAGTAGTATATATAATTGAATGGCAAATACATTTTCTCTAGAATATTTCCCAGTAAAACCAATGAACCGACTTTTGGTTTAAAGATACCTATTAAAAAGTATTATGTTGAGGGAGTCTTACATCATTTAGGAACTCTTCACTTAGCTGGGCAGACATGTTTAGAGTGCTTGCAAATTTTGCAAATGTATGGTAGAAGTGGTTTTCAGATTTTATTTGCTTAAAGTTTGACAAAGTGGCGTTTGCTTTCTAGGATCCACAAGGCCTAAACTTCGAGCACGAATTGACTTTTTGACAAAACTTTTGCTCAAGCAAATATTTGTAAGATTGGAATATGTACAAACAACTAAGGAAATAAAACTTTTGTCTCTTACTGCCGTAGGGTTCACTTTTTAATAAGTGCAATAAATCAATCCTAAAAAAAAAATGCGCTTGCGACACAAAACCTCAAGAAATTAAATATTTCATTATTGTCTTTCTGAAACAACAAGTGATTCAGTTTTTGAGAATTAAAGCATTTGCGGGACCTCCATATGAATTGTACTCCAACATAAAATGTTAAGAGTCCGAACAAATTGAAATACTATTTATACTAGAAGAACTATTATGATCTGATGGTTTTGGAAAGGTTTCAAAAGGAATATTAATATGTTATTATATATATATTAATATTAATAGATTTCATCTCCGTGTGTACTTAATCCAGGAAGCATGCCGCAGCTGAGATTCTTCTCTAGGCTCACACTAGGCGAAATGCCTTTTTGATAATAATAATAAGTTATTAACTTATTGTCAGATTTTAATGAAATTCGCAGGACGTTAAATATGACATATAAGAGAGTATGCACATGAAAGGCAGAGCAGGCAGGTATTTCACTATATCCTGATATTTCAAAATTATCCATCTAGAATCTATTGCTTAACTCTTATATAAATACACACGACGATATTAATTAACTCTGTGAATTTCCACATCAGTGAAAAGAAAAAAACAATATTTGAAATTGCACAAACATAGCTAAATATAGTCGAGAAAACAGAACATATTCAAATGATTTGAGTCCGTGTCCTTATCAGTTCAGGTATGTGCGTGCTATCTATTATCAGTGTGGAATATATTTTGAGCTAACTTAAACAATTCGCAAACAAAAATGCATATGAATTATTTAAAGCTCGTTGTTGCTGAATTTCATACAAGTAAAGAATCTTTCTTTTATATTAGTGCATACGCGACTTGAAATAGTGAGAAGGGTTAAACGGTGACGCTTATTTTCGTGTTGCATCTAAGTTATGTGTCCGCTGTAACGCAGCTTCAAGGAGCAAAATGCCGAGTAATGTAAAACAACAGTAATATAAAATATGTAGTCCCTTATACGAATTCCTTCGGTGGCATTTTCTGCTTCAAATATTTGTCGTGCACACATTGCAAAAGGCAGGCACACATTTACGGAGCTATGCTCCAGGTAAGCTAAGAATAACCGTGGCCACCTATGTTATGTATGTCATCATATTGAAAATATTCACAAAAACCTTGTAAACTTTGTGTGCACCCTCATAGCATCAGAAGCGAGGGGTTCGAGTTTTCGCCGCTGGTCACGCTGACAGAGCTTATTATGGCTGTGTTTTCAAAATTCACTTCACGCAGGAATTCTTTTTGTTCTTATAACATATTTTAAATTAGTTGCTAAAATATTATCTCTATATATATATATATGATTTTATATGTTATGCCATGCATATATTTCGTGGCATGTTTTGGATACAAATAAATTGTGTGACCTGCAAATATAATCCATTTAAATTGGTCACCGAGGGGCGCAAAATTTTAGAATATATTCTCCTTTCCCGGTGCACCCAACGCACATCGATGCTTAAATTTCCTCAATGACAACATCAGTGAGTGGTCCCATAAACATGATAAATGGTTTAGTTATGTTATATGAACGTACTTAAGTCTTCGAGCATGTCAATCAGAAGTGTTTGTCTACGTTCTGCTTTTCTCAGCAAACACATTAACTGGCAACTAAATATTCCGGAAGCTCACTCATCTGCGACCATATACCCCATATAAATACACATAAGGGCAATTACAATCTTGGTGGCATGGCGGATTTGCTGCTGCCTCCCCTTGGACTTAATTACGGACAATGGCAAGAATGCTCTAATTGAGAGTGACAAAAATACCAACTTTTTATATGGATGACAATATGACTTGTGGAGGGAGCAATATTTTTAATCAGATTTTTTGGGTTAGCTACTTGCCAAAGTAAAACCTTGGTAGATCTTTATATAGTATATGTTTTTGTGGCTTACCCACAGCTGGTGGTCGTGGTGAAAAATTGGTCATCCATGAAGGCAATATTAAATTGTTCCAGCTGAAACGATAAGAATCGGCATTAAAATACGGGCTATTTGACCATATCTCTGTATAATCTAACTATATATCTATCTAATTATATCTATATTAATAGAATTCAATTTCTATTTTAGTTCAATTTGTTTCATGATAGCTTAGTTCTTGGTTTGCGTGTAAGGTCTCAGGCGATGCAAGTAGTTCGCTCGGTTAAATGTGGTGCTGACTTCACCTGTTAATCTTCAGCAAGCATCTATATTCATAAAAAAAACATTGAAATAGATCGATTTTTAAATTAACTAATGAATGGGTTAAGCAAACTCACCACATACGATCATGAGCTCGACGTTAGTGGAGAATTTCACCAAAAGATATTATGTACTTTTATAGGTCTGCCTTTTAGTACAGCCAGAATACGGAATATTAACTATTAACCTAAAGCATGCTTATCTCAGGTAAAGGTGTCAGCGGTAAATAACTATCTAACACAATTACTGCTGCATAATCTAGGTCTGCTCGCAATCGGAATATAGCGAAAGATATTTGCTTTCGATTCCTTATAGGTATAGGTATATAGGTATATAGGTATATAGGTATATTTGTAAGACCCGTGATATGAAAAAATATTATTATATATACATATATGTTGTTATAATTATAATTAAAAATATATGAAAAATACTTATCTAGAATTGCCTGCTCGCGGCTTTCCTAGGCAAGGTCTTGAAATTGTTTTATATATCTCATTTGTAACATGGCCAAACTAATCCGAGAAATAACTAATTATATTAAAAACGAGCCAAGTGAAAAACTTAAGTGTTATATATTTTTATACAACAATTTCGCTTTAATGGTCTATTTCAATTGACAATACAAATTGAGCTCGATTTCAAAATATCGTTTTACGAATGACATTTTCCATATTAATGGATATGCGGTCTTGAGTTTAAGGCTTTAATATACGTTTTCTAATTTACCCATTTCAATAGCTACAATATTATAATAATTATTAGGATTATGATATAAGAATTTCTGAATTATTCGTGTTCATTCGCCTACATTCAAAGTTAAAGTATACAACAATCTTTACTTATGTGAGGATGGCCTGATTCTTTAAAATTCGCGAATCGATTGCCATCTTAGTTGAAAAATACTTTTGATTGTGTTCCACAGTAAATGCGGTTTTGCACCTGTAAATTAATATTAAACTATTGATATTGTGTGGTTCTTATAACTTATAAAACCTTAGATTAAAACGAAAAACGTTTTCAGTTGCCGTTTTACTTTAATTGCTCCTAACAGGGATATCATATTCTTACGAAACAATAGAAAAGCCGATTAAATAAAGTTCTTTTCCTGACCTCGGGTACCATATGGTAATGAAGACGAGGTTTTTGAAAATCTCATCCGCAAGTGTCGAAAATTGCGTAAAATAATTGTATGAATGTATCTCATCGGCCTGAAGGATAATTGTAAAAATTCATTAGGGGGGTATTTCATTCTTCCACCTTTTCTGGCTGAAAAATACATGGTCAAGGTTGAAGCATTCATCATCATTTCATTTCGAAAGCTCTATATTGTTCAACGATATGTTAAGTTTACCGATCAACCGGAATCTTAAAACGAAAGTTAAATTTAAATAGTTTTGGATTTCAATAGCGAAGATTCTTGGCTGGATTGATCTTATCCCTTTAGGAGTAACTTTGGCTTGCAGAGAAAAATCTGTGAAAACATTGTTAAATATGTACTCTTAATATTAAGTATGCAAAAATACCATGCTCGAACGGGTATTAAACGTTTTCTTTTTCGCTTATATTAGACAAGTACACTCTTCGTTGTATCAAAAAAAAAATGTGTGCATACTCAAAACTAATCACATCATAATACAATACAATACAGTACAAAAATGTATCTTACGATTATGGTTATAAATGTTTATAGCTTATTTCTAAGAAGTATTCATTGATTTAAAAATTATATGTTGATAGTACCTAATACCAACTAATTTTCTATTTAATTATTGATATACTTTTATTTTTATTTTATTTTTAACTATTTAATTGCAATAATTGGAAGATTGTTTTTGTTTCCATTCTAATGTAGTACTTAGTACTAAATATCAGATATGGGCAAAATATACGCATATATAGATATGTATATATGTTTGCCAAATTGACTGGAATAATTTGACTGGCAGTGTATCAGAAACGATAAGTTTTTCTAAATAAGGAATACATATTAGTTTAAAAAGACGAGTAGTAACAGTACGAAATACAATCAATGTTGCTTTGCTCTTCTTGCAAATCGTTACAAAATTTGTACAGATAATATTTGAAGGGTGAGCTTTGAAATTCGGAGCTTCAAACAACATTACAATTGAACATTGATTAAATGCCTTTTTTTAAAACCCACGAACAACAAAAATCTCTGATCATACCACATTACAAGATAAATACCTTACAATCGTTTCCACTAAACTTTTAATAGATCTTCATTTGCAGAACAAAAAATTAGAAAATTATTTAAAAAAGTCGCAAATAGTTATGCAACTGTGTCTTTGTCATCGTTTAACGCTTAATATATGGTCAAAGAGAACAACACAGTTCTTATAGCTCAAATATTCTGATGGTTATGTTTGGACTACACTATATGTACATATGCAACTGTTTTGTTATTCATTATTTACATTCATTAGTTATAATTAGATTTAAGTAATAAATGCATGTTAAACCAACTTTGTGTCTAATAAAAGTGCATTTACGATTAACCAACCCTGTCGACAAAGGCTGATGGAGGACTAACATGCTTCTCAGTTAAAATGTAATCGAATTGCTCGTTTTTCGAGTTTTTATTTATGTTGCTGGACTGCTTTTGTATATTTTCTGAGCTGCTTTCCGTCTGAAACTTGTGGTCGCTCATGGTCGAGCCGATAGCTAACGTTTCAGTATTGCTTAAAGTGTCCATGCCTTGATATTCCAGAGACCTATTTGGACCCTTTGATGCTCCCAATGAATCCAGAGATTCAATATTGTAAATATTACGTTGATGACTTAAAAACTCCAGTTGATCGCCCTCAGTATTCTTGAATAGCTTTACACTCGCATCACCATAGTTTTTGTTATAGCATGTCATTGAGGGATAACCGAGTTCATCTGGCTCCTGTGGCTTCAATTTTTCAATATATGACCCCGATTGTGTGACTGGTCGGGCGATACTCTGGGCTTCCCCACAATCGCGATTAAGGGTGCCGCTGTTGGTATTACTATCGGCACCTTTGTATCGCTGACGACTGGGTATACTTCTGGACATATCTGCACATTGGATTGTAGCTTTGGAAGATTTAATTGTGAGAATTTTCCGCTGGGAATCACAAGAGTACGCTGATTTCCGCTGTTGCTTTGCTGACGGGTCAAAGAGCCTGCAGTCGATGGGTACGCTGTCCATGATGCTGTAGAAGTAAATAACTCATTTTAAATATGACCGTTATTATAATTATTCTTATCTAATGGCATGATAAGCTACTTCAATAAGTGGGTATTTGCTGAATAATATAGTTTTCTCTAACTAACAATGCAAATAATGGTCAACATTGAAACTCCAATAGCTATGCATTTACTTAAATAAAATGCTGCAAACTGACAGCTTAGCTTTTGCATATGTGAAAAATGAAAACTATCGACTGGGATTGAGTCAAAAGCCTGCTTAAGAGACCTCTAGGAGCTCGTCCCAGATCAAAGACTCAAATTAGGGCAAGAAGCTAAGCAGGCTATCGGGAAAGCGACTCCTGCTCTGAAGGCTCGAGTTAGTTTTAAAAGCATTTCAGAGCAGAGCTAAGTAGTAAAAGCTCTTGAAGCAGCCTGTCTAACTTCTACAACGTGAAAACGGAATTGACGAAGAATATAATATACAACATAAGGAACCCACCCTCGTTATACGACAACAGAAATATTGCCAAGACCCGGCCTACTTATTCAAAATTCAAAAAAGATTAGGTACTAACTTACTATGCAGTTGAGGTCTGCTAAATACAGAAGACCTATCTTTACCAATTCCTCCATTATTTCTTGTTTTTCTTCCATGTGCTGAAAGAGAAACACGATTATATTATGAAAATCAGTGAGTTTACATAAATACCTGTTAATCCTTCCTCATCAATATAACTGGAAGCATCACGATTACTACGATTTTCTTCACGAATGCGCTCTCGCTCACTAAGCTCGCTATCACTATTTAAGCTATCGTACTCTTCTGATTCTGACTTTAAAATTTTCGAACGACGTTTTAGTCGCTTTTCAGTACTTGTACTGTTGCTGTCATCAACTATCACATTGCTGGTCAGCTTTACATTTGGGTTAATTCCACCTATACTAGTTGAGACGGGACGTTTTCCTTTCGACCCAGAGCTACATAATGTATTATCATCTTCACAGCGAGAATCGTACTTTAATGAGCTTCCCGTGTAGCTTAAAGCAATATTTCCGGACTGGTTTTCATGTTCTGGTAAATGAAATGTAGCGTAAGGATATATGTCTTCTGAGTATTCAGGTATGCGCTCAAGTCCAGCAACCGCTTCAGGCGGGGTTTGCTGGCAAGATTTGCGTACTGTACCATAAAAGTGTTCATGACTTTGAATATCCTTTCCATCTGCAGTACTACTTTGTGGCCTTAATGAATCCACATTGCGTGAAAACAAAGTTTGTGTATCTACAAAATTATAAAAGGGTTCAGTATTTGTTAGCATACATATATAAATATTCAATACAAACAGTTTTTGAAGCAGATAAAAGCTCCGATCAGAGCAAGAATTGTTCCAAATATTGAGGCTATGATAACAGCTATAAGGTGCGCATCGGTAAGTACAGTTTGCTCCTCGGGTAGCGCATCCGGATCCGAGCTGCCAGTTAACCCAATCAGATTCTGTGTTTTGAAATAAAATTCCTTTGCAGTTGAACCAGCATTATTGTTTGCCGTGACACGCAATAGGTAGGCCGTTCCTGGCTCTAAGTCACCAATACTAAAGCGGTTCTGTAAATAATTGGGCAAAAATAAATATATAAATCAATAAACAAAAAGTGCAGCTTACATGGGTTTCAATTTTATTTGAAACTATGATCCATTCACCCGAAGATTGATAGTGCTTGAATTCAATACTAAAGTGAAGTATCGGGCATCCACCGTCCTGCCAAGAGGACAAGTCTAGGATAACTGATGTTGTATTCGAACGTATAAAGCTGTGCTTCTCCGGTGCCAGCGGTTTGTTTCCTATAAAATGCAGCTATATCTATTTGAAATCGTAACAATATTTTATTGCGTAAATACCTTTGGTCTGGGCTGATACAATAGCACTTGTGACACTGGTGCCAATTTTATTAAAAGTGCTCATCGTAAATTGATATTTGGTGCCACATTGAAGGTTTTCAATCATATATGAAGTAATACGCCGATCAATTTGAAACTCATTCCATTCGGCCGATTCCCGCCTGTAGGTTAAAGTAAACCCTCTAATCGGAGCACCGCCGATATCATCAACTCTCCATTGAATTGATACTGAATTTTTGTGAACCGAATTTACAGATACAATAGGAGCAGAAGGTGGAACTAAAAAAAAAAGAGTATTTTAATTTTAAAGCTTATACTAACTAGTTTGTCTTACCTTGAACGAACAGCTGATAAACAATATGATCCGAGCCCACGGGATTTCGCACAACGCACGAATAATTGCCTTCATGCGAACGTTGAATATTGCGAAGACTTAATGTATTATCGTTGCTTACTTCCAGTTGGAACTGCTTTTTAGAGCGCGTATTCAGTATCTTCCACTCGGCGCTTGCTTTGGGATTTCCAACAAAAATACAGGCTAGCTTAATATCTGATCTCCAAGTGACGGACAAAGTCTGGCTGAAAGATATGATAGCAGCGGGTATCGACGTGCTCGGCACCAGTTTGATGACTGGAGTACTTGGACCCTGTCCCACCCTTGTCGATGCTGTGACCCAAGCCTCATAGGTTTCTCGCAAATTAAGGTCTTTTGCTTCGAAATGTCGATTATGTGCTGGCAAGACTTCCTTTAGTATTTTCAGCTCCTGTCCCTTTTCCAGTACTCGTATGTAAACATTGTACTTGGTAATCAAACCGTTCGGTCGTCGTGGTGGTAGCCAGCTAATAATCACTGAAGATTCGGTGCTAACGGCAGATTTAACCAGCTCTGGGGCATCCGGTACCGCTTCTTCCGTAATGCATGACACAGCCGGACTTAAGACGCCTTCGCCAGCTCGGGTAAATGCCAGCACCTGAACGCTATAATTTGTAAAAGGCTGCAATCCATGAAGAACTGTGCTAAGAGCCGATGTAATTTTTGTTTCCCGCACGCTGTATTCACTCTCCAAAAATCCTGGTTCGTACAGTATCTTATAGCCTTGAATAATTCCGTGACATTGTTTCTTTGGTGGGGACTGCCAGGATATTTGAATATTTTGTGCAGTTAGCGCAACGCATGACACCGATCGAGGAGGCGCGGAAGGAACATCCTCCAAAGTGTGACCCAATGCCACATCACTCTGGGGGCCGTCGCCTTTTATATTAAATGCCGAGACTGTGATTCCATACTGAGTATACTTCTCCAATCCAGTTAAACGAAAGTCATTCAAGCCTTCTGTTATCAGGCTACCAACCTTAGTCTGATTTTTACCATTATCTGGAGTACCTTGCTTTTGATACGAAATTGTATATCCCAATAGATCTCCATTCCAGGAATCACGTACAGGTGCTCGCCATGTTATCAGCAACTTTTTGATCAAATAATGAAACAGAATAAATATCAACAAAAATAGGTTAATCAAATTTGAAATAATCAAAATAACAGCAACAAATGCGACTCAAGGCGGATGATATACTATGGATATATACTACATTTGATGTCCCTAGGAACTTTAATCTCTGAAAAATGTCTTTCAGAGCATCTAATTGAGAATATAGAAGTATTTATAAAATCGCTACGCTCCGGCTGCGATGGTAAGAAATGCATTCATCTGCCTGTTTTATTCATTATGAAGAAGGGTTGACAGCACTTGACAGTTGCTTGCCCGAAACCCTTCGTCTGTCCGGAGCCTTATTTAATACTGCTATGGCACTTGGGCTAATTAATGTAGGTTCCCTTTTTGAAACAATCGTGGGGGCTGTCTGACAAATATGCACTCAATTAGTACAGCAAGCTGTTCATGCAGTGCCTTTGTGGAGCTCCTATTGACCTTCTACTATATGACTACTGTATGATAATACTACAGACTAAATAAATCTATAATTTCTTTATCATATATTTGCAATTTCCAATGCGTACAAGTTATTCAAGCACCAATATTTCAATAAAATTCCATCAAAAAGTATATAAACCTAAATAAAAATACAAGAATGGATCCAAGATTTTAAATTAAAGCTTACATGTTTTGTTATATACATTTATATCAATTTTAGATTTTCTTAGGAATTAAAGATCGAATGGTAGTATCCACTTACCTGCTGTGGCCCAAGCGGCTCGACAGTAATGTCTTGTGGCGGCGCAGATGGTACTTCTGAATCTGTTTGCACAAATAAAATGTCGCTTGGGGCGCTGGTGCCTAGATGATTTTCGGCAAATAATCGTATATGGTAGACTTGTGCAGGACGAAGAGATCCTAGCTGTGCCGTAGTTCTGTCGCCAGGCAGTAGCTTCTGGTTGTTGTGTTCATGCCAAACATCTGCATTCAAAAAGTAGCAAAAAAGCTTACAGTCAGAAGATCCCATTGTAGAAATATTCTCTTAGTGCAGACATATGGCAAGATCGACTCGGATATGATTTAATTATTATTGATTTGTTGTTTGTGAATAACAACAAATTAAATATATAAATATAAATTATAATATAATTTAGGATCAAATACTTTGACCCTGAAAAAAGCTATAGCACAATTTTAACATAGCTTGTACGGTTAGAATTATACGTGAATTAGTCAGGACAAACTCTCTTATACACATAAATTTAATCATATTTTTAATTGTACTTACCTCCAGCTTTTTTGTATTGCAATATATAATTTGATATCGGTTGAGCGTCCCGGTTATTGCTCCCACCTCCGCCCAATATTATTGAATCCTGATCGTTTGGAGACCAGGCCAATGTGACCGAGCGACTTCCGAGATCTCTGACATGCAAATTAACCGGAAAATTAGGAGGTTCTTGTACCTGTACATGTATAACACTTCGATCACGGCCATAGGCATTGCTGGCTATACAAGTATATTCGCCTCTATCTGTTAGAACCGTCTGCAAAATAGTTAGCTCCGATGATACTCCACGAGCTAGAGGCGAGTTTTTTATATGATAGCGTATATCGTAGGATGGGTCAATGCGACTTGCTTTCGACCGCCAAGATATTTCTAGAGGCTGATCGCCGTTCGCTTCGCAGTGCAAAGTAATACGTTCTCCACGACGAATTGACAACTGTTTTTTGGCAACGGTGACCGAGGGCCCAACTGTTGAATATATAAAATACCGAATCATTAATCAAGGATCATTAATCAACGATTTTTGTTCTTACCATGAACGGTTAATTTAATTAGAGTGCTTAGGCCAGCCCCAATGCCATTGCTTGCCTGACATAGGTAGCTGCCCTCGTGCTCTCGGGAGACCTTGGATATTATCAGGGAACCATTTGTATGGGCCACAATAGCAGACTGTGAGTTTCCATTGCTCATGGCATAACTTAGATCACGGTAATCGCCAGAGTCACCTTCATGTATACACATATAGTTGAAATGTAATCCTCACTACAAGACTCTATTGCCATACCTATTGATTGCTTCCATTGAATGGTGGGTTGGGGAAATCCGTCGGCCTTGCACGATACAATTACTGAATTTCCTAGGATTGCGTCTTGGTCAGTGGGCTTTAAAATCCACCGGGGAGGTACTATTTTAGGATTTCGATAATTACTTAGAGTTCATTCAAAACATTGGACTATCATGCAATACATACAATTCAAATAAGAAATTCATGCAAATATCAGATTACATCAAGTCTACTGATAAGTAATACGGCGGTTATTTCTTTAATTGGTCTAACATCTAGATGGAACTGAATAAATATAGTATATATTTGGATATGTATATTAGGTTTAGTTTTGTATAAAAATGGTTTAGTTGTGGGTCTTAGTATTTGGGCCACGTTAGTGAAATTTGATCCACACGCAATTGCCTTGTAAAAGTAGGCTTAACACATTGTCCTCTATCCAGCCGATTTTACTTTAGTATATTTGCCAAGACTGTAAAAGATTGTTAATATAACCCACTGAATACCCGATATAATTTTCTGCATCTGCAATTTAGGAATGTTCATTAAATTGCATATCGAAGTTGTCTACTTGACTTTGCAAAATAACCCAAGTAGTTGAGAACTAACCCCAAGATAGATATTTAAGCTGGAGCGATACCTTGCGACTTTCGCTCAGTGTACATGCACTAAATAACCGTTATTAATACATGCAACTTACATATATGTATAATCTTGTGGAACACAAGTGAGTGCAAAAAAGCCGGGTGCATTGTGCTCAGTGCTCGATCTCCTAATTTTTTTGTTAATTTCGCCCACTATTATTTGAATACATATGTATTAACTTTATTCTATTTTTCTTCTACGTTCATATTGTTTTGAAAATGTTATAACTTTTCTCAATAATAATGGGAGAGACGGATATTGGATTAGCTAAAAAAGTTAGCTTTGTGAATTGTGCATTAACATAAATGTCAATAAATCTGGAGCAAAAGTACATTTGGCTGAAGTCACAATTTGTAGATTTGCCTTGATTTCTTGATTATATGTTAATTCACATCTGGGGAAAACCATAAATAAGGCAATGCGAGCCACAAGAAATTTGCCGATATCCTAGTGAAGCGAGGAGCGGCTTCTCAAAAGGACATAGAATGTTGCAACTCTGGACTTGGGCAAAAGAAGGAATTAAACAGAAATCAGACAGATAGGGAAGAGCAAAGACAACCCAAAAGGTTCCTTATCCCTGGATAACTGACCTTCATAGACCTTAAACAGAATGACATACACATCTCACCGGATATTATACTCTCATCATATTGAATAAATCCGTTAAGTGTAGGTTTTGAATCAACTATGCTTTACAATTTATACATTTTTTTTTTATATTTTCGGCAGTCCGATAAGAGTTATTATTTTTCATATCCTCATGTCTTTCCCATTGTAGTATAACTAGTCTCTCAGTTTTAAGGCTTGATTTGTCATTCATCCGACTTTTCCATAAAAACGGTATAAGATATATATAAGAATTTTAAACAGATGTTACATAACTACAATGGATATGATAGGTCAAAAAGTAGGGAAGTTTTTGACAGCAATGTCTTTATATCAAAATAATTGTCAATAAAATTATAAATATTTAATTAATAATTATATTGGGTAGCTACTGAAGTTTTCAATAATATGGCTTTTATTTATATTATTGATGAATCTTTTTTACAATAAAAGTATTGAACAAGCCAAACGAAACTTAAAGACAGTCAAAAAATCACTGGCGCTGGTATTTAAAAAAAAAATACTTCTATATCACCAAGCAAATTGATGAAAAACAGCTGTGATCGAGTAGGAATGAAAACGATTCCAAATAAGAATATAAAACGATCGTGGATTAACTCTTAAGTTCAGTAGTTGTTGTAGTTCAGAAATAACAAATTGACGATTGCTTCAACATATTTCTGTTTGAAGACCAATTGAATACTAACAAAAATTCGAATTACCAGTTTAAGCCCTTATAGCTAGATAACTAATCCTCCTGGTGCATTGTCTACAATATTTACTGTGAAATTTGGTTTTCTTGTGCAAAGTACATTTCAATATTATAGAATTGGTGGGTGTTTTTAATAATGTTTCTAGAAAACAATAGTTACACTTGATTTACCCGAAACCGAAAGAACAGCTGTGTACTCAACAGTGCCAGCGTGGTTTGTCACACTACAAGTGTAGTTACCATTGTGCCATGAGGAGACGTTGTGTATGGACAATATGCTGGAAAATGGGGTATATTGATTGATTGTTAACGACGGATCCTGAGGTAAAAACTCTTCGCCTTGTCTTGTCGTCATGGCCAATTGTTTGTTGACACTGGCACTGCTGCTCATTAGAATGTCTGAATTACTCTGAATTGGCACATTGTTTCTGTGCCACGTTATATTGAAAGGTTGATCTCCTTGGCTGCTGGAGCACATTATCTGTGTCCGCATACCTTCTGTGATTTCTTCTTCAAACGCAAAAGGAGATATACGCGGTGGAACTAAACAAATAAATATTAAAAAAAAAAAATGTGGTTTTAAATTATTTTATCTTATTTGATTATTTTCATTAACGTTGCTCGCAGATCTTAAGGATACTTCTGTGTCTGTGTGTACGACATATACCTCCGATAGCGAAAGCTTTGCGTACAAATCGAATTACTCGACGTACATAGCTGAAAGCAGAATATAATGGACTTGAATGCGATTTGACTCAATCGATTTGATGCACATGCATTGAAGGTTAAGTAAACCTGAATACAAATTCTTTTAATTGAAAATTAATTTAAAAGTATCATGCAATCTAATAAAACATTAGCTTTCCAAAGCTCATATATGTTTAAATATTGAATAAATATTAAATATATAAATAAATAAAAAACGGGCTTGACAGACGGATCGTAATAGCCGATCTTAGTATTATAAAAAGCTAAAAAAAAAAGGTCCACAGGCGTTAGAGTGGCAAAAAGGCAAGGCCTTCTTTAATTTAGTGTGTTCAAATTTGTGCACACGTTTTCTTGCGTAGATATAGAATATATTCCAAGTTTAATGTCTATAACTTTACTGCATGCGGACAGAGCCAATCAGATACAAATTTATTACTATATAAGACCTCCAAGTTCGAGCTACTTAAAGTTCACATTTCATAGCTAGAAGATCATGAAGAGATTGTATGGCTAAGAGAATTGGCATCCATATTTTAGATATCGGAACCCACGCACGAAGCTGCTAAGATCGATTGGAGTAACATTTTTGGGGCTAATAAGCTATTCAGTTTAACTTTAGCTTCATCCAAGTTTCTAACTTGCAGCAGATAATTAATTTTGGTCAAAAACAGGCAATAATCAATCATAAATGTATCGATCTAATTATTAAAGAATTATTTCAAGAGCATGAATAACCATCGAAAGTTAAAAAGAATTAAATATATTTCGAGAACTACTGACGAACTACTTCATGCATATATGTGCTTTATCATCTAAAAAACTCGCTTATCAATATGAGCTCAAACTAATGAGCAATGCGCATTAGCGTAGAAAGTCATATATTGTCTCTGTGCTTGAATAACTTAATAAGGCAATAGTTTAAGCGCATTACGCATGATAAATTTAAGAATTGGCGTGCATATATATGTATATAAACGGGCTATTTGTTGCATATTTAATGCATATCTTATGTAACTACAGTGCAGAAAACAAAACAAAAAAACACAAAAAAAACGAAAAGAACAACAAGTACCATTAACTTTAAGCTGTGCAGAGTGCGTTACAGTGGCGGCATCATTTTGAACGCGACACGTGTACGTGCCGCTTTGGTCCCTCGTCACACTTGTGATGCTGAGGGCGCTGGTAAAATCATCATTTTGGCGAATTGTCACCTGGCCGCTACTTTGACCACTACTACGACCATTGTCATTCGGAGCAAGGTCGCTTGTGAAGGCAATCGCCGCCGATGCCGACGCCGAGGCCGAGGGTAAAATGGGAGATGAGGAGAACTGCGACAATGATCCGGAGCCGATACCCAATACAGCAACGCCACCGGTACCCTTAAGCCCGCCGCTGACACTATCGGCCGAGGCTGCCGATGGCAGAGCTTTTCCATCCTTTAGCCAGGTAAATGAAAGCGGCAGGTCCCCGGTGCCAATAACGCACTGAATGCTTGTGCGGTCACCGACGTTCAGATCGCGTGCGAATGAGAATGGTGTAATCTTGGGTGGAACTGGATGTTTAATTTCAGTAAAAATATTTTAGTACAAAATTGAGCAAACGTTTCTTAAGAATTTAATTACGAAGGTATTTAAGAAAAACAAAAAAACAAACAACATTATTTTTTGTTGACGATGAGCTGTATAAAAGCGAGATTCAAAGAACATCCCGGAAATCTATCAAGTATTTGTTGTTTTTTTTCAATTATTCACCGATGTTATTATTTTATCTTTCTGTAAGTTATATTATAAAGAACCTCCCAAACAAACTACCTTTCGGTTCTTCTCTTTACTGCTACTGTTATAGCCCATATATACTAGAGACCCGCAGTCGTTGTAGGATGCCACCAAATGCTTCGCTATGCTTTGGCTTGTAAAAAGCAATGCAATACTTGATATTAGAACATTAGAATAAGCGGCTCTCGGACAAAGGTGATGGGTTGGCACAGCACAGATACCCAGCCTCTATCTCTAATGGTGTTCAAAGTTTATTTTTGTGGCTATCATTTGGTACTCAGCGATACCAAAGCCATAAAGCCATAATACTAGCGAAAGCTTGTAGTGCGATGATGGACGAAATGTGGAAGCCTAAATTATTATCGCCAATAGAGTAAAAATAAATCGTCCAAAAGATAGGGACATGAACCGAACAGGCCCCGCTGCACAGGAGAGAAGAACGAGGAGCTGATACTCATCGATAGCGTGACAAAGGCAGATTTAATCTTCTAGACATCGGCTAAACTGGGGCTGGTGCTCATCCAAGGAGAGTGGACTATTCATTATAATAAGCTGTGTTTACAAGAAACGGTTGCGCTTAAATCGAAACTATTTTAGTTTAATATCAGGGATAAAATAGAAAACATGTAAGTATTTCGATTAGGGCATTTTCTTTTCTTTTTAGTCTAGAAACTTAATTCAATGCTGTTGCAATTAGAAGTAAGTAACGACAAAAGAAAAACTTGAGTTAAGTTTGTTCGTACTTCAATTAAGAAAACCTGGTTTGACTCTTTTTTATAGAGCAGGTATATTTGATTTAAGTATAGATGAAGTTGCTATACCCTCTGAGAAGAGTCTTATACCATATTTTGGCATGCGTTTTAAGAAGAAATTAAAATGAGTTCTTGGAACTCCGAAACAGAGCTTAGAAGAAAGTATAAAAATAATACATTTGTACACTTTCGACTGAAAGTTAAGTTTTTTTTTCCCAAATTCGCACCAGCGGTAATGTAGACAGCGGTATATTTGTTGGAGAAAAGTTCAATAAGGTTTTTCATTTCTTTGGTGTCTTTAAATAGTCTATCTGAATACATTTCATTTGAGAAAAACTTAAAATGGTTTTGTATAATTATATTCTTTAAAATGCATTTTCGTCTCGATCATATTATTTATAATTAATTAACAAATTCTTTCCGATTTTTTTAAACTTATACGTGTTTCTGTGATTTCGGAAATTTCACCCGCAACTGTGGAAATTTGGCGAAAAACTTGCAACTTTTTTGTTTATATTCGGCTTCAAACTTAATTTCAAAGATCTTGTTAATAATTTTAATTTCATTTTGAACATTCAGAAAGACTATCAGTAAAAACACCATCAGAGAGTACTTAATCTCAGCTCAAAACACCAAATTGACGGTAAACCGCGGGAATAGCTCACTTCTTTTAAACTGGTCATATCGGAATTTCAGACAGTAAAAGAGTTTATGAGCTCTAACAACACACAACTGTGGCGATATAAACCCTGAAAAAATACCGCGCATGCCAAAGCAAGTGCAAGTGCAAATGTGGGGAATACCTTATGCGAATGCGAGTTTAATTAAAAGTGCAATGTAAAAGTTCGAGCGGTGCAGTTATTATGAAATATTAAAAATCGATATGGGTACAATACTATTTTCAGATATAAGTACACTTGCGTCATACAATACGACAATTAAAATCCGGATGAATTATTATGTGCTTAAAATAACATCCTTATATCATTTAATCTATAATTATAATGTAAACGTTTCAATTATCAGAGACTGGCAATTGCAGAGAATAATTAACATACCTATTTATAAATAGAATTACGTTGCTTATAATCTACTTAAACATATGCTTTTATATTCATAAATAGTACACTCAGATCGAGGATCAAATATCAGTATGCCTGCTTGTGCATACATGTGTGCATGTTTATTTTACATAGATGCAAACATGCGTGCATGCTTACATGCTTACATGTATGAAAACATGTCAGTATGCCTACATACACGCATACATACACATATAGAAATGCATGTGTGGATGTATGCATTTTTGCATAGATAAATGTATGCATTAGAAAAAAAACATGCATGCATACACATGTACTTAAATGCTTACATCTGTACATGCATATATGCACACACACATAAATCGGTCAAATCTCATCCGATTTTCTCGAAGTTTGGATCTTTGTTCATGGCCTCTTGATCAAAATCTGACATCATTATATTTGTATATATATAAAAAATGTTTATTCTAAGCCTTACAACTGAACTTATGTATACTGATTGCCAGCCGCTGATATGCATGTATTAGATATTTATTTTATAATCCTTATCTTAGCAGGTTAATTTCGACTATATAAAATAATATTTATGTTTTTTTGAAAACGCATTCGAAAAAATGTACAATTTTCAGAAAAGGCCTTTACGATAGCATCCATATTAAAAAGAAAAAGGACAATAGAGAAACGTGCTGCGGACATTCAAATGCGTAACTTATCTATGCACGTGCATATTCATTGTTTGTATTTTCCTGAAATAAATAAACACATGTACATGCATCTGTAGGGAAATATAATCAAGAATATTTCGCGCGCTTTCATATTTATAAATAAATATATGAGAAAGAAAACGATTTGTAGCCAACCGACTTAATGTTGGAATACTTTAGATACACATTTTTAAATTATTATTATTCTTATTATAATTATTATTAATGCATTAATATTTGTTTTGTTTTTACTTTTATGTTTAATTAATACCTCCTTAAAGTAATTAGAAAATCATAGGAATAATTTGCATGTTTTTTTCTGCCCTAACTTATGTTGGAATATCAGAGTGTGAATAATAAAATAACTCAAACAAATAAATGTAGTATATAAATACATACCCAGTACTTTGACTTCAACTGATCGCTGCGACGTGTAGTTGTGTTTATTCCGCGCAATACAGGTGTACGTGCCTTGATCGGCAGCTCGTTGCACGTTGTCGATCACAAGGGTTCCATTTTGGACCCGCTGTCACATGTTGATTGGCAATCGAATGCCGTCTAGATAAAACTAAAGCCATCTAAGGGATGCTTGAGCTACAATTTTTTAAAAACGAATCATACCCTTTTCAATAAACACACTTTCAATAGGGTAGCCAGCAATGGGGCATTTTAAGGCAAACACTTTTCCAGCGACAGCGGATATCTTTGGCATATGTCGTATATAGGGCATGCCTAAAAGAGGACAAGCAATACAGATAAAAAGATATAGATATAGATGCAGATATAGGTAAAATTTCAATATGCTGATCAAGAGATTAAAAATAAATATATTTATATATTTTTAAATACACTTACCATATATATTAAGTCTTGCAGAGTGTGAGACCTCCCCAGCGCGGGAAATAGCTTTACATTCGTAATCTCCTCCGTCCTCTGATTTAACAGCTGATATATTGACATGGCTTATAACATCACCAAATGTGGTCACGTATTGTCCAATCATAAGACGGTCATTCTGTGGCATGTTTGCAAATCAATTAATAATTAATAATAATCATAATTATTTAGGGGTTAATTATAATTATTTAATTGTCCAGCAAGTATGTACATACATAATCTATTTTAAACCTTACAGGATCAGAGAAGTCTTATTCCTGATCAAAATATAAAACTATTTACAAGAGTATTAAAAAGCCTCAATTGCTTCAGTCAGTCTGTCTGGATAGAGTTATATTACATAGATGAGCTTTGAATCGAGCTCTTTGTATTAACATTCAGTTGTAGTATACATCGATATTAAAGATCGATTTCGATTGTCAGATGAAGCAATATGATATTAAAACACTTACATTGGGTAGAGCAAACCCATCCAAGTTCCACACAATTTTTGGTGTAGGGTTTCCACTTGCGCTGCATTTAAGTGAAACGGAAGGTCCAGGCTGCATAGTTTGCTCAATAAACTTGTAAAGCAATTGAGGTGCCACTTCTGCAAATGACAACAAAATGCAATTAGAATTGAAATAAAACAAGAAAACGGATCTTTTCGGCACGCCAAAAACTACCTTTGTAGACATACAGATTATGGTATTGCTAGTAACGAGAGAAAAAGTTGGGCACACTTAAAATTATTTTTCACCTGATTGTTCCCTTAGATATGTATAAACTAATATTATAACACAATTGTAACCATTTGTCTTAGAAGAATATATATATTAATAATTTTCAGAAAATATATAAATAAAGACGGATATGAAGAAGCCCTGCTGTTTTTCTGGTCGGGCATGAACACATATAATTACGGGGTCGGACATGCCTTCTTTAATACTTATATCCCCTTCCCATAGGGGCCCTTACGGCTAAACGAATAAATACGCAATGATTGATTTGTTTTGAATGCGTACCTCCCAATCTTAATTCGGCAGAACTTTGACTCGATTCCAAGTCATTCTTTATCATACATTGATACATTCCCTTGTCTTCCTTGACGACGGACGTAATGCGTATGTGTTCCTTTGATAAAAGGCGCACACGAGCCCCGGACCGCAGAGGTTTTCCGTCCTTAAACCATAAGACTTGTTGTTTTGGAAATCCAGATGTGCTGCAAATCTATAAATCATTTTGAACAGGTTATTTACTTTGAACAAGCATATGGAAAGTAACTAGGTCACTTTACTCACTAAATCAGCAGTATGTCCAAGATTCACGGTCTGTATACGGGGCTGTACACTTGCGCCCAAAGGCGACGAAACTGATAGCTTCACTTCCAAAGTCTCGCTACCCTCTGAGTTGGTGACGGTGCAATAGAATAATCCATCGTCTGTTTTTGTAACGGCGGATAAAATTAGAGTGCCATCTTTGATTTTTGCCCGTCCCGTTGCGAGCATATGTTGCATGGACTCCTCATTGCTTGAACGTGTTGTATGCCACCTATAGGAAATAAAGTATAACACATATTTAAAAACAAGGCAGCTAAAAAGTTTACTGCAGTTATTTTCTGAATGGAAATGTATACTGAGACGGAGTCTTGCTAAATTCCACCCACATGTGTGAACAAATCTAGAAAAAACGTGTGTATTGAACTCTTGTTTTACCAATCCTTATTGGAAATGGGAATCAAAGATGTGGTGTGTGAAGTTTCAAATTTATTTGCAATAATCTTTATGAAAAATCATTAAAGCCGCGTTTTACATTTTCTACAGAATCCAGTTCAATGGAAAAAACGTTTCAATAATTTTTGAAGTTGTAAGTTTGTACGATTTGCTTCAAACTAATTTTCAAATATCTACAAAAAGAACTTATGAATACGCGTTTCGTTAATTGACACGGAGAATCTCTAAAAAATATGTTGCCTTACTTTAGGCAAAAAGGAAACATGAACCAAGCCAATGGTATTTATTTTTGCTTGCAGAGATTACATAGAAGTATAGGTACATACATGCAGATGTATGTATGAACAAATGTTAGATTATTCATTAATCATCCGGTCTGAGTTATTAAACTGCTTAAACTCTCTTTCTAATTTATGCTTCTTAAGGTAGTTAGCGATTAGATAACCAGCATATGCAGATACAAACATATATAAATACATATGTACATTGTAGATTCATGTATGCAGAAGTGCATTCCTACATAAAAATGTATGTATGTTTGACCGCTTGTCACTCTTATGCAACTGTATGTTGTACATACATACATATGTGTATGTAAAATAATAATTAAAGTACTATGTTTGTATGTGTTCCATCAAATACATACGAACGGAAAATCTCACCACTCTGATGGGTGCGTATGCTTGTGTATGTGCACACGTATATACATAGATTTGGTCATGAACGCAAAGTATAGACTCGTTGTACACCAGTTTTTGGCATGTACATACATACAAACATACATACACGATTTTTATGCTTGTCCCCTACATGGTTGCTACATATGTATACACACATACATATATGCAAACGTACTTTTACATGCAACTGAAAGTCTCTATGTTCTTGTATGTACATTCATATGTATGTGTGTGTACATATATGCAAACTCAGTCACACACCACAAAGTCACAGGCCAAAGAAAAACATCATGCAGAAAAACTCAAGAGGAGAACATCGCAAATAAAACAAAGCAAACCCTTGCGTCGTTGACGACTCGTCGGCTAAACGCTTGGATTGTGTATGCATGCATGTATATGTACGTGCATGTGTCCATACTAACGTATGTACAACATAGCATGCATATGTGCATGCAGGCCCAAACAGACACATATACATGCATGCATGCAAATCCAGAGGCGAACTCCATCATTTAAGTGAAGTTGTCGGAACGGTAGACTCCCCCACCCCCTATCGGACTTTGAGAGGCTGCCTGAGCGACCCCGACCACAATAACTGTGGAAGGCAAGTATTGAAATAAATTTAGTTGATATTCTTAAGTGCATTGACATGAAGTATTTAATTGCAGGTCTAAGATAGGACATTAAAGCCGTGCAAAACACGTTTCATTAACTTATTTCCATTTTAATGAGTACCTGTAACAAAAACTTCAAAGAAGCTAGAGCTTGCCTTTTAAAATTTAAAAGCCTTAAGTGCTCAAAACAATTGCTTTCTTCTAAAATATTCCCCAGTCGGGAATTCCCGACTAGAGCCTCTAGCTTCAATATTAATCAGGACAAACTTGGTTTTTTATATATATTACATATATTTATCTTACCTGTAAGTTGGCTTTGGATTTGCATAAGCAACACATGCCAAAACTAATGGATCTCCAACTCTGGCCAATATCGACATAGTCTTATCATTCATTATTGGAGGCACAAGCTCCCGCATTTCTAAAGTGTATGGAAACAAAAAATATTTAATGTTCGAACAAAATCGAGTATAGTATGTCGCATTATAAACTATATCAATAGAGCAGAAGTTGGTTTTGCGATAAAAGTATTGATCGTTATATATGAAATTTATAGGGTATAAATAGTGAAACAATATCTCTTATGCCTGAAAATGTGTAAAAAGGGTATATCGGTTATGTGCAAATGTATGTAACAGGAGAAGAACAGAACAAAAGAAGGCATAAAGTATATATATTCTTGATCAGCATCAATTGCCGAGTCGATCTAGTCATGTCTCTCTGTCCGTACCTCTGGCATTTAATCTAAATTTACTGATTTTATTCTGATGATATTTATTGATAATATGGAAATGGGGATAGTTATAAAATAATGTGTTGATTGTGACATACATAGGCACAAAACTAAGTATTATACCGTTTCAACTTATTTTGAGGGCTTTGAGTTAGTGTTAAGTATTTGTTATGCCATGCTTTATATCCTTAACAAAGTGAAACTTTCAAATAAGAGGATAATTTTTCAAATGAAATTGTATTCGCGTGTTCTATAAAACCGGTTTGTTCCTTTTCAAGATCATTTTATCAATAACAAAACTTATATCTGGCCTGAATTTATTTTAGATGTTATGGTGCTACTTACCCGTCAATTGAATTTTACCAGCATTACTACTGACTTTGGAGTCCTGTGTCAATTTGTGATGTGTTCGACAACGATAGATTTTTTGGGAATCATTTTTAGTGATGTTATATAACAAAAGTTCCCCTGTCGGTAACATATGATTTTTACCATCTGCGAATATTTAAATACGAATAATAATATACAAATGAGATTTGAAGAAACGAGTATTCAATATGATTGTTTATAGTTCCACACTTACCCCCTTCCAAAGATGGATATATATTAAAGTTTGGTTCCTGTAGCCAGGAGGTTACGGTTACATATTCCTTAACGAACGACGGAATGTTACACTTAATCAGAATGTTACTGCCAACAAATCCACCAGGATTTTGGACCTCCGGTTCATAATGTTGATAGACCACTGAAAGTTAAGATTGGTAATTCAATTGAATATGATAAAATTTAACTAAAGATAACGTTCCGGAGTTTATTTGAAACTTTTCAGTTCGTATGTAACATAAATATAGTTGTTTTTTTTTTTTTTGTAAATTTAAAATTAGTTTAACAAGAGAGAACGGAAGATTAAATACACTTGTGGAATTGTGGGTTTCGGTTTTTAAAAATGTGAGGAAAATAGATCAGTTCGTAATTTTCTACTGAGGCCAAATTATTTTTTACCTATTTAAGTAAAGGGATTAACTACCAACGAGAATACGCGTAGCAAGTTTTGTGATTAGATGTTAACAACAAATTTTAACAAAGATTATTGTCCTCAAACTTATTAAACATTCAATGGGAATAATGGCATTTTAATGGCATCAAATGTAAATGATATCACTTACCTGCTTTAACAATAACATCCCTAGATATAATAGTGCCCACGGTGTTGGATGCTGTACAACGATATATCGCCCAGTGCACGTCTTGTCGAAATTCTTCCGCGGCAAATGGCGGAAAGTGTAATGAACCATTTGTGAAAATATGTTGAACCTGCAATATAAAGATACCACTAAATAACTCAAGTACATAATTCAAATGATCACACGAAAGTTGTCATAAAATAAAAAGAAAAATGAAAATACCATTTTTAACTGGTTGAGGGAATAACGAATGGGCCCCACTAGAAGATATCCGGAACCCGTAGAACATGTTTATTATCAAGAAGTACTCCTTTCTTAATTTTTTTTAACAGAAACTCATGTACAATCATGGTCTCTAACTTACTTTCATAAAGGGAGTAAGCAATCGGAAAGGGTATTAATTTGGGAAGCAGTTCCAGCAGGTGCTTGTTGTTGTAATTGACCTTTGGATACGTTCGGTCTTAGGCAGATTTTGTGTTTTAAACGCAGGAGGTTCTAGGTTCAGGAGGTTCATATTTGATGAGATTTGACCGAACGGGAAATTTATCTATATAAGATTTTTGAGGATACCATTTTCACATGAATTTTGACCAAAAATAATGTTGCCCGGTTAAAATGCCAAATATATAAAGATGCCAAACCATGAATAAAAATCCAAACCTTATGAAAATCGGAGGATATTTGACCAAGTTACGGGTGTGGGAAGTTTTGACCTATATCCATATAGAATATTTGAAGTTTTGGCCTTTGGTATATAGGATATTTGAGGGTACCATTTTGACATGAATTTTGACGAAAAATAATGTTGCCAGATTTGGATGCAGAATTGATTATGAGGCCAAATCATGAACAAAAAGCCAAACCTTATGAAAATCGGAGGATATTTGACCAAGTTACGAGTGTGGGAAGTTTTGACCTAGGTCGATATAGGATATTTGAGGGTACCATTTTGACATGAATTTGGACCTAAAATAATGTAGCCAGATTTGGATGCAGAATTGATAATGAGGCCAAATCATGAACAAAAAGCCAAGCCTTATGAAAATCGGAGGATATTTGACCAAGTTATGGGTGTGGGAAGTTTTGACCTAGGTCGATATAGGATATTTGAGGGTACCATTTTGACATGAATTTGGACCAAAAATAATGTAACCAGATTTGGATGCAGAATTGATAATGAGGCCAAATCATGAACAAAAAGCCAAGCCTTATGAAAATCGGAGGATATTTGACCAAATTATGGGTGTGGGAAGTTTTGACCTATGTCGATACAGGATATTTGAAGTTTTGAAGCCTTTGGTATATAGGATATTTGAGGGTACCATTTTGACATGAATTTGGACCAAAAATAATGTAGCCAGATTTGGATGCAGAATTGATAATGAGGCCAAATCATGAACAAAAAGCCAAGCCTTATGAAAATCGGAGGATATTTGACCAAGTTATGGGTGTGGGAAGTTTTGACCTAGGTCGATATAGGATATTTGAGGGTACCATTTTGACATGAATTTGGACCAAAAATAATGTAACCAGATTTGGATGCAGAATTGATAATGAGGCCAAATCATGAACAAAAAGCCAAGCCTTATGAAAATCGGAGGATATTTGACCAAATTATGGGTGTGGGAAGTTTTGACCTATGTCGATACAGGATATTTGAAGTTTTGAAGCCTTTGGTATATAGGATATTTGAGGGTACCATTTTGACATGAATTTGGACCAAAAATAATGTAGCCAGATTTGGATGCAGAATTGATAATGAGGCCAAATCATGAACAAAAAGCCAAACCTTATGAAAATCGGAGGATATTTGATCAAGTTATGCGATTTTTCATAATAACTAAAAAAAGTTGCATCTAACCTTTGATATGGATGTGATGGGATTATTTTCCTTATCTAGCCACTGAACCATCGGCACAGGATTTCCATGAGCAATACAGTGAGCTGTGTTTCCAACTGTATTCAAAAATTCAATTCTGCTCGGTGGCTCTAGTGAAAAACTCGGTCCTTGCATATCAAAGTAATTTGATGTCTCTGAAATATGAAAGCAATACATTGTGAGATAATTAATTATATAAGTCAATATATATAATGTTATTGTTTCTACGAAGTATGAAATTAACTTTTAAACTATAATTGTTTGAATGATTTCTTGAAGCCTGAAAACTTATGCCAATATGATAAATAAATTAGATATTACCTTTCCGCAAAGCTTTATCTCTAATTCTATCTAAAAATATGCTTTAAATAAAAACAATCGAACAGATAGTGAGACGAAGACATTCGTCATCAATCAATTTTATAGAATTAAGGATTCGATATGTAATCTTCGCACTTCGTGAGAAAATCGTTATACTCCTTGCACGGGTATTAATAACCCTTGATTAGCCACTTATGATTTATGTTTGCAGATTAGCTAAATAATTTTTTAAATAGAAATTAAATGACTGCTTTAAATCCAGATCAGATTTCATAAATTGTTGTTATCGTGCTGCAATCTCTGCCCCTTGCTGAAAAGCCTTCATTAAGCAAGCTGAGTTTTTCATTCTGAAAGGGATGATCCCTGGCGTATGCAGCTGGCTTTAGAAATAGCATTTATTTGCACAGCCAAGGCGACGGTTTGAGGTAATTGCCTGCAAATTAACAACAAGCCACGCTGGTCACCACAGACCTGTCCCTTGATTAAAGTGCCTATTAACACAGCTTGTTTATAATCCTCGTTGAAACAGACAAACATACGATGCTCTGACATGATTAGATCGACTCGGTTATCGATGTTGACCAAGAATAGTGTCTCCTTCTGCTTGTTATATATATATTTGCACCATTTGATCAGGGTATAAAAACATATTTGACATATTTCAAGACAGAAACTATTTTCTAATAGAAACGAACACCGAACGAACATTAAAAGTTCCCAGGGTTTCTGTATCATGTAGTCGTGATTGCCTGACTAGAGAATACCCTGAACCTTTTCTATCTGTCTACATGTCAAATTTGCTGACTATAGCGGGGTTTTCGATATAGATTTTTATCGGGGAAAGTTATCGATTAACGAAAAGAAACTCATGCTGCGCGGGCATTAGGAAGACCTACGTGCAAATTTCTAGCTCTTATAGTTTCAGAGATTGACATACATACGGACAGACGGATCCAGAATATATATGCTTTATATACAAATGAACAAAAACACATATTTGAGTTCTAGTAACATTAAAAGCAATAAAAGCAAAAGCCTAAAATGGCCCGTGCAAAACCGGATAATACGCGATAAATGAAAGATAAATTATATCGTGTTCATTTTTGAAGCTAACTCACTTTTGAACGTAAAACTTAATCAAACATTTACTTATTTGCTTGGCAATCTTTTTAAGCAAACTTCTTACCTGTGGTACTAGCAGAAACATATAATGTCAATATAAAGATGAGAGAGTATAAAGGTTTCCGACCTGCTTCTGATATCCAAGTCATATTGTAATTCTCTTAGTTAAGCCAAAGTATAGGTAACATTTATTTAAAAAATTGTTGAAGCTTATGTAGTCTCCTGGAAAATTGAAAAAGAAGTGGTATTTTAGGTAAAGTTAACAACTATTTTTCAAGAGCACGAACCAAGCAATTAAAATAGCATCCAAAATAATAAGTTTCTGTGAGCACAAAACTATCAACTTAGTTACTCAGATTCAACACAGGGTATGAAGTGATGTCGGTTAAAGCCGGCTTGCGAGATGGATACCAGTAGAGGCAGTAGAGTGTTACGCGAGTTGCATCTGCATTTGGTTGAGGAAGGTTCAGGGTATCTCCTGATGAGCACATCCAACTAAAACCAACTTTCCATTAGGTCAAAATATGAATTCAATTACAGTTCGAGAACATTTAAAATAACTTCAACTGTTTTTTTGCTGATTAACATTGTTGATGTTGCTTGGAACGGAAAAATCCAGAAGTCTCAAGAGTTACGGATGTATGGACAGACGGACGAACAGGCAAACGGACATTACCGGATTGACTTGACTATTGATGCTGACCAATAATATATAGATACTATATATGTACTTTATGGGGTCGCGGGGTATAAAAAATTAAAATGATAACAATAAATAAAAGAGTTAAAGGCTTTAACGCGAGCGCTCTTATAATCAATTTAAACTTTTGATAAATGTATGTGCGTTATTTTGGTTATAAAAAGACCGTGCAATGTTTTGTTTGTTAACAATTTTCATCTGGCTAAGTTTCTCTTATGCGATTTACGAAAATTAGAGAGCACTTCGTGGGCTGCTTTACAAAAGATATATGTATTTTGATTAATAATAATTATGTTATCGTACATAGCTTTTGAACTCTTATTGCTTCTCTTAAATGCTTTTAAGAGAGCGATTTTAAGCTAAAACCGTTATAATCATTAGTTATGCATCACATGTGGCAATTTGATAATCATAATAATAGTTCTTATCAAAATTGTACACAATGTGTATTTAGATATCCGCGTAATACTCAATGCGTTCATTTATATTGCAGTGCGCGTAGCTGATTATTGAATTAAGTTAATCTGTAATTAATGAAGCTGCCGGCATTTGTTTTGGATTTTTGTTACACTTTCGTTTAAACAGCTAAAACAGTTTTTGCCAAATTATCGCGCAGCATAAAGCTTATTTGCAAAAAAAAACAAAAAGAAAAGAAACATGCACAAAAATCTCATGGTACATACGTATGTATGCATATGTTTGTATGCAGAAATGTAAATGTATATAGCTGATGGCAGCCTTTTCCATCTATAAGCACACCATTTTTTTCCGACTCATTTTTTAGCCTTTTCGCGTTACGAATAGTATATGAACGACTGACTGCTCGGGCGCGCTAACGATGACTGGCACCTCCAGATGCAGCTTTCGACAGCGAATCCCCGGAGCGGATGGTACTGTGTTGCGCATCGTGTCCTTTGCGCAGATGCTGTAAGCTGCTGTGCTTTGGTATAACAATAACAATTCGAAAGCTTTTATAACAAAGCGTGCATTTCCAGAAACGGACTTTGATAAGAAAACATCTGTTTAGCTGGCAAATAATAATAATAATATATGTATGTACAATATATAAATGTACAAGTGTGAATACATGCCTACTTTTGCATGTTTTTGCCGATTCATACTTCATTCAGCTCAACATATGTGTATTAGAAAACAAAGTCCCATGATTTTATCAGTAATAATAATAAGTAAGGACTTTGCATCAACAGCGGTTTTCCAATTTGCCGCTCCTGCCGTAGCTGTAATTGTTATTTGGCAAAATACAGCAAAATATATATTTATCTTATCAACAAAATAAATACTTTTTCAATTTTTCCAATTTTCGGGCGACATTTAGTTCAATTTTGGGCCACTCTTCCATTAAACTCAGTCTTCGTTGACAATTTACGCTTTCTAAGATTTTTGTCCAGTTCCTTCCATAAATGCTCGATTGGATTGGCTGTTCTGGTGATTGAGGAGGATGTGGAAGAGCATGAGCCATAGTTGAAGATTGCTCAACTTCCAAATATTTCCAAATAAACACGCTTGTCCCTTGTTCCTTAGATGAAAACTAGTTTACCCACAACAGCTGCAGACATACAGCCCCACACAATAAAACCTGCACCAACTTTACTGTGGTGTTGAATTAAGTTGCAACTTTTGAATGCCGTATTGGGTTTTCTCCACACCTTAATTTGGCCAACTGAGCGAAGAGTATTAAACTTGCTATCGTCGGAGAAAACGGCATTGTTCCAGTAAATTGATGGCCAACTCGATAGGTTCACACTCGAAATAAGTGGTTTGCATCTTGCAATTCTCGCATTGTACCTTGTGGCCTTGTGTAGTACCCACCGTACCGTTTTGGAGTGAATTTCTTTCCCAGTCTCTTCTTTAACCTCTGATGCTATTTGGGATGATGACATTATTGGATCTTTCTTGATCTTTCTTATTTCATACTTTCGTGGGCGACGTAAATTGACTTCTGTCAATAACTCACCAATTTCATTATGGATTTGTATTGGTTTTTTTTTAATAAAATTTAAAAATTAACCCTGCCGCCAACCTTTATAAAATTAATTGAATTGGTTGCACAAATAGCTAATAGCCGTTAATACGGAAATATTAAAGGATATATCAATAAATATAAAGAAGAGACATGAAATTCCCTTAAAATTTTAGAAATAATGATCTACAGATTGCTGCTATATCAATCTGAATAGCAATAGTTACTGTTACACATATCGCAATCTTTATTTAACCACTTACCATACAAAATATAGATGGGACAGATGGAATCCACAGCTAATGAATCTTTGAAATACATGTGGGCCAGTTTTGAAACGCATTTCATACATTACAAACTTGACACACAGCAAATGTCGAAGTAGTGCTCAATTTTTTACCGATTGTTTGATTGATACTTGTTGGGAACAGGCGGAATTTCCATGAGGTACAGAGGTAAATAAAAAAAGGCAATTCCAGATTCCTTGTACAATTCGCTCTCCTCCTGCGTTTCGGCTCCCTATGGACGATGTAGTGACCTGCTAGGCGTTATTTTCATATGAAGCAAATTGATATGGAATCCTTTGGAAATTGTCATACTTATAATCTAGTCCAATTTATTTATGCTTGTTTCATTTTAGTTGATCACTGTTCACTTCATTCATTTCATTCAAAGTTACAAATTAACATATATCTAAACAATTCGAAAGCAACCACTTTAGCTATGAGCAAAAGATCTGATCACGGGACTTCAATATTTGGAAGTGAATACTTATTTCTCATATGCCTTGTTGTATCTTTTATGGAGAACTAAAATCTGTACGCAAAATACATTTAATAAGTCAAGTTTTAACTAAGGAATCATGAATTTACCACAAGTAGTGCAATCAACCCGTTAAATTGTGCTAAAAATAGATAAAGCAATTATTATTATTAAGTTAATCTTAAAAATGCAATAATCTTTACCTAAATTCGTGGATTTTATAATTTAGTTCGTTTACTGTTTACATTTTCCCTTGAGGTTTCAGTTGATCTCTTTCTTACAAATGAGTGTGACTTTTCTCTAAAATAGAATTATGATTAAAAAGCAAAAAGTACAACTCGTATCGACTCTTACCCCTGTAAGTTGACATCAGTTCGCGTTGGTCCATCATTGGCAATAAATCCTTCATCGTTTGAACTTAGTTTACTAGGATGAGTGCTTAATATATTTTGAGTAGTGGGCAAAGTATTCTTATTCAGTATCTGTGACGACGTCAATGACGTAGAACTATTTGGTATTGATTCAGCGCTATTCTTATTAGCTGATAAAAACTCAGAGCTTGGTAATTTATTAGAGCTTCCAGTCCTGGGTGAAGTTATTGAAACTTTTGACAAAGATGAAATATTGGGATGCAGGGAATTTTTTGATTTGAAAACATTTGTATTCTGCCTACCATCTGTACCTAAAATGGAACTAGCATTTTTTTGCATGGCCTGCCTTCTAGGTTTCGATTTTTCTGTTAATGTATTTACAGCAGTTAGGGAAATACTGGGGGACATTTCATTAAGCTGCTTCGTAATGCTACTTGTACCCGGCGGACTAGTTGTTGGTATTATTTGCATTTCAGAATTATTTTTTAAGTAATCTTTTGAAACAGACGCGAAATTAACATTTCTTGACATAGGATTTTTTGATGTTTTTTCTTCTTCCATTTGTAAGTTCATATTTACATGTCGCTGTAGTTTCGAATTCTTTTTTGTAGCAGCAGACTCTGCACCTAGCGTCGGTTTCGTCTGATCAACTGAACGTGTGGGTTGCATTTGAAGCGTTTTCAAAGGCAGAGCATTTTTTAAGAGCGTGGCACTAGCCGCTGGTTTAGCTGGCGTTGCCGATGTCAAATCGACGGAGCTAACATTTTGAGCGACATTTTGATCAACGGAAGATTTTAATTTCGTTGATTTATCCTTTAAATTCATACTGTCAGTTGCATCTGGCACCCTTTCTGAATAATGTGAACTGGGAAAGGCATTAAAGTTTCCTTTTAAAGTCGAATGTAAATTTTCTACTTGACCAGGCATAGGGTAACCCTGGGGCGAATAATTTAATAGACTTGACAACGGATTTTCAAGCAATTGTTTGTAAGGACCTAAACTGGAAAGAACATTGGTTGAGTTTGAATTAGCCGATGCATTATCTAGCAATGAAGATTCTGATGCAAGTGTATGGTGAAGTTGTGAATGATTTATTGAGCTACTTCGGGCTTTTTGGGAATCAAATAGGCCAAAGTCTCTAGCCTGTAATTTTGTATTTGAAATGCTTGGCATGCTTGGCATAATCGATGAATTCGATTGTAAGCGATTTAGACTAGGCGTATTCATAACGTTAAAAGGAGATGAAGCAAAACTATTTTCATTCAAGCAAGAGTTAATATCAGGGTAACGCATAGATGTATACTTTTGATACAAATTTAAAGTGTCTAGATAATTTGGATTCAATCCATAATTGTACTGTGGAATGAGTGACGCAGACTGAAGACTGTAGTTTAAAAGAGTTTGCATCTGAAAAGAATTAAGTTAAGTTAAATACTAAAGAATAAAGTACGCTAAAGTTTCAGTTTGTATTACTAGCATTACTGGGCGGGTATTATAATTTTGTCTCGAAATGTGTAACGCATAGAAGGACACATCTCCGACCCTATAAAGTATATATAATATTGATCAGTATCAACTAGGCGAGTCGATACAGTCATGTCTGTTTCTATGCGAACTAGTCTCTCATTTTAAGGCTATCGTCAAAAAACTTTGCAGAAGTCCCTCTTTCTGTTGCAAGAAGTACATATGTCGGAACCGGCTGGATCGGACCATATAGCTATCATAAGAACGATCAGACTAAAAAAGAAATTTAGTAGATATCTTTCCTAAATTTATGCAAATCTTTTTTACAGCGGATCACTATATAATATAGCTGCCATAATAAAGATCGGTCGAAAATGAGGTTCTTGTAAGAAAAACTTTTTAATTTTAAAGATATCTCAACCATACTCGGCATTACCTATTTTCCCTGTGCTTCTCAGATACGGGCAAAGCATTATGAATATTATGAAAAGGTTGGGTCAGCAAGGGCATTAAATATTCGGCATGCCGAAGATAGCCCTTGTTTTTTGTTTATATATAGAATAATACACAGATATAGAACAGTACTTACATCAAGGCTTGGAACAGAACCCAAATATGAATTTAATTTTGTGGGCAGATTAGAATTTTGAATCCTGAAACGAAATTTTGTATATTGCTTTTGAATTATAGCCAAAAATAGTAACTTACTTGTCGGTATTTAATCCTTCTTGTTGGGCTAGTTAATAAGCAAAAGAAAATTGTTCTAGTTCATAAGAAAGTAAAATAAATATTATATGAACATACCTAAATTCATTTGCAATTCTCTTTCGTATGTGTCCCAAGCATCAGCTTTTTCTTGCTCACTCAATTCCTGTTCCACTTTATTTTCTAATAGACTGTCATGCTCGTGATATTTATAAACCAACTCTGATTGACGTAAAAGGTGCGCTAATATAGTATCTTTTGGTAATAAGGGCATTGGCCTTTCACATTGTTGAGGAACAGTTAATCTAAATATAGGAATACAAAAGGAAAATATCCATATAAAGCAGCTAACAGATAAATCGACTTTAAACAATTACGTGTAAAGCTCAGCTAATTCTGCCATATTATAATGTCTGTCAATTTGCTGTTCATCTACAACTCGAAAGCTCATTGCCTGCTTTGTGACGGATCGAGAGTAGACCTTTTCTTCCATTGTTCCCTGTAAAATGTTATTATCTTAGTTAATTAATAATATCTTCTATAAATTCTTTAAAACCTACCATAGCTATTAGACGGTATATATAACAATTTTTTTTCTGACCCAGACGAAAAATCCGAAATATATTCTGTTGATCGTTAGAAGGATTCCATGAAGTATCCAATATTATTACTCTGTTTGCACCAATTAAATTTATTCCCTGGCCTCCAGCTTTAGCAGATATCAGAAAAACGCGAGCTCGTCGGTTGGCTTCACTGTTAAACCGTTTTATCATTTCGTGCCTGATATTTTTGGGTGTTTTGCCATCCAGTCTATAATAGTCCTGGCCATTAATCCAAGTATTCGAAACCTTATAGCTCGATGGAATATCTTAAAGTAAATAAAAAATACAAATTATTGCTGATAGCTACGTTTTATGCAAGTAGTTAGCGTAGGTTGATATTTATGTAGTAAATTAATTAAAAACACACAAATAACACTCCTTGTAATACCTTTTAGTAAGATAACTTATTTCATTACTCAAATAATATATATGTCAACTTACGAATGTGTTGTAATATTTCAGCGTCAGATTCCGTTATCTTTTTAAAAAAGTATTCTACCACATTAAGTACTGCAACAAAAGCAGAGAAGATTAAACTGAAAAGACAATAAAGAGATTCATTAATATAACGTGCTGGATAAAAAAGAGATCAGTTGTCTTCGAAAGGAAATTCTTGTCCTAAATCCTACCATACTTACAAAGACTGCTTTTTTATTTGTATGTATCGCAGATCTATCCAACTCTGAACGATTCTTAACTACTTCACGATTTACTTACCTTTATGGTATATAATATATTTACCCACTTACCACTTCTCGCCTTTTTCTTCACACATACGCAGAATGGCAAACATAGTGCGAAGCTTGTTACTTGGCATAATGGTCTCCAGGTCTTTTTTCGAAAGATATTTCCGCCACCAATCATTTGTGACTGAAATTAGACCTGTTTGACTATCGTAAATATCATCTGGTTGATCATCATCCGAATGCGGACATCCGATTTTTTTATTATCCTTTTTGTTTTTTTGCTGTGAATTACAAGATTAGTTTAGTAATTGGGAAGTGCATATTTACTTACCATGTTCGCATTTTTCCATGCATCTTCTAGAACTTTGGGATGTGTCCATATCTGTTATAAATAATAATAATAAATAAATATATATTTTAAAAAAGGTACGACAATAGTACAATTTACCTTTCTCAAAACAGTATAGTCGGTGATAAGGCTTTTCCCTCGACTATCGCCACGGCTTGCTATAGCTTCCAAAATGTATTCATATAGAGTATTCTGTAAAGTATTGTACATAAAGTTTATAGACAAAAAATAACCCCAATGCCCATATAAAACGACTACAACTAAATATAAGCTACCGATAGATCAATGTTTTTTATTTACAACAAGAGTTACAGGGTACTCAGCGCCGAAATTTATATTGAATATTGAATATTGAACCTGAACCTTCTGCTCATGATTTACCCCAAAAATACACAGAATATATATTTAAGAACGAAATGATTGGAATCGCATCATACTTTCACGCAATACATTCTAAATTCTCTAACTCTTATAGGTTTTGAGACGTTTATCCATACGAACAGACGGGCATGTCTAGATCGATTCGGCTATTAATGCTGACCATGAATATATTTTTGAATATGTACATATAATTATGGAGTCGGAGATGATTCCTTTTGCCTGCTACATTCACTTGCACAAAATCATTATAACTTTTTTATACGTTTTCATTAAGGGTATAAAAATAGTAACATTTTGAAGGAAAATCTTTAGGGCGGGACGGGATTAATAATACCTAAAAACGTCTTCATAAACACCGCAGAGCATCTTATGCAACGCTCTCCTTCTGCTTCCCTTTTTAAACTAATCGATTACATACCTGAACCGCAGTCATAGGAATAAAGAGTACATATTCGAATTTTTGCGGCAAGAATGTCTTCAGTAACTCGGCTTCTTTTCTCTGTAATTAAAATGAACAACTACTTAAATCATCAGAATGTCACAGCAGATAGTTCAATAACAAATAGTTATTATCATGTATTAAAGGGAATTTATAATATAAATGCAATAAAGAACAAACTGCAAAATACTACTTCCCTGTCTAATATCTTGAATTTGTATTCTTAAATAGTCTTTTATATAGACAGACAGATTTAAATGTCTTAAGATTCATATTTCTTATTTTTGCATCCTGTGCAATACTATCAAACTAATTCGAAGTAAACTTTGGAATTATGTTTGTACCTGTACAAATTTAGACAGCTTTTTGTGTAAAACATACGATCTCTGCTTCATGACTGTAATATCCTTTTTACTTGAATCCTTATGTTGTCCATTCTTAATTGGATTTGCATATAAATTGGCGAATTCTTTTTCAGTTCCGAGGTATAAAGGTTTTATAAAGTTAACCATACTGTAATCTGTAATAAGATAAATGTTAGTATTGCCTTAATTGCAATGATTATCACAAGCTGTACCTACATTCTTTGAGATTATTTTGAATTGGAGTGCCAGTTAAAATAATTCGCTTTGGTGTGATTATTTTTGCAACAGCCAGACTTATGGCTGACTTGCTATTTTTTATGATATGGCCTTCATCACAAACGACAAGATCTGCACCTGAAATGATTGGTTTAACTTTTTTCTTGTGTTGCCTTAAATTTTATTTACCTGGTTGCAGTAAGTATTTATTTACTTTTTCTCGAATATTTTCTAATTTCGCAGAACTTAAATTTCCACGGTTCTTATAAGAGTGATAAAACACAAGAGTCCGGAAAGCCTCATAGCCAACCAACAAGCAGCCTGCTCTGTTGACGGATGACACCGACCACTCTTCCAAGACGCGTAATTTATCTAAAATATCACTAAAGGTATTACGGTTATTAACAAATATTAAGGTTTTTAACAAATATATACTGACTACAATATATATTTAGCTGTTAACTTACGATGAATCCGGAAAAACGAATACTTTTATATGAGTGTTACTTCTTAATGGCCCCAACCAGCGTTGCAGCTCATCAGCCCAATTCATGACAGTACTCTTGGGACAGAGAACCAAGACTTTCGTTGTATTTAGTTCCTTGTATGAAATGACGGTGTGCAATAGAGCTATTAACTAATATAGAAATACATTAAATATATGTTTGTTTTCAAATGATTGACTGTTCACCTGTAGAGTTTTTCCGAGGCCCATGCAATGAGCCAAAATGCATCCCGAACCAGAGTTTTTCTTATTGTGATCAATTCCACCGTAACATGAATCATACATAAACTTGACGCCATCAATTTGATGCGGCTTCAGTTGTTTAACAATTTCTTCATCAACCTTTACAAACGTTTTAGTACTTTCAATATAGTCGAGTATTAAACCAGATTTTGTTGTATTGCCCGAATTACTCTTGATTGCTTTAGAAAGCAGTACATGTTTTTTTTCCAGCCTTCGTATTCTCTCAGTTTCTGATTTTTGGGCAGCTCTCGTCTCATTTGCCAACTGATCCATACGCAGCATTGGCTTAATTAATCTCGTTTTTTCTTCCACGGGTTCAGGCTCAACGTCAGAATAATCGCTTTCCGAACTAAGTACGATTTCTTCATTTTGATTACGCTTTTCTGCTTCAGCCATTAATTTCTCTAAAGATTTCTTAGATCTATTTTTGTTTGCAAAGTTATCATTCCATAGTTCATCGCTAACTTCAAAACTATCGGACTCTTTCTTTTCAGATTCAAGTTTGTTCTCTTTGGTCTCATTAATGGCATCATCCTTCACCATATCATCATTATCGCATTTAAAAACTTGCAGAAACTTGTCTACGACATCTCCCTTATTATCATCTTCCGTAGAAGATTCCTTGGAGAGATTGTAGTCACTTTGATCTGAAAGTCCAGAATCACTGTTCGATTCATTTAGTAGTTGCAGTTTAATTTGCTCATTGAATCGCGAAAGATACTGATTCTCCGTTATAACCTCATCGTCACTCTAAAAAGAAATATAGTTAGTATTTGATACTTATATCAATTAAACAATAATATTTGATTTATGTTCTACTTCAACTACATACACACTCACTTCTTTGAAACTATTATCAGTGTCATACATTGCCAAATCATCATCAAAATCATTGGGCGTATTTGAACTCTTGATACTTAGCGACTTGAGATTGCTTTTATCAATGGATTTGACTCCTCGGTTGTGTCCATGACGCTTTTTGAGACCATTTAAATTGGTGAGCCTGTCAAATAAGAAACAAGATTATTAACAAATAATATGTATTTTATATAAGTTAAATTATATAGCCTATATTATTAGATTGTATTCCTGAGGATATTATAGCTTGTCATTAAATGTGTAACATATAGATGGAAACATCTTTGACACCATAAAGAATATACATTTTTGACAAGAATCAACAGCCGGAGTCTATATAGTCATATTCTTCTTTAGCTGCCAAAGGAATGGCCAAAAATACGCTGTTTGGGTACAAACCTTTCTATTTCCTTATCCGTGTTACTTTCTGATGAGCCCGAAAACGTCTTATCATTGTCAACTTCTTCGCTGGACATTTGTCGGAATTTACTATTGGTAAAATCTAAGTTAATATATTTACTAAGATCAATGCCATCGCTGTATTCAAATTCTCGAATTGAATTGCGAGCTTTTGAGCCTTGCAACCGATCCGATGCCAATAAATTACTTTCACTTGGATCTTTCTTTTGATCATCACAACTGCCGCACTCACTATCCATACTGGAGGAAGCAGATGTGTCTAAGAGATATCTTTTAGCATTATGATTAATTCTACGCCTTTTTCTTATAGAGCCTTTGGAAAAGGTTGTTTGGACGCACTGATCAGTTGCCTTTATAATATTGGCAACTGTCTTAAGTTTTTGAATTTTTCCACATATAAAGTCTTTGAACTCTTCTTCTGTTTTTGATGTTAGTAATTGGCATTCATCATAAAAATCTTTTGCAAAATCAGTTGTGTTGGTAAGAACAGTGCTAAAAGCGATTTTCTTTTCGCTCATATTCTCATAAAGGCTTTCGAAATATTCATCATTGGCCTCAACCTCCAGGGGCTCCGAGCAATTCTCTGGCAAAGTTGTATTATTACTCCGAGTTAGACCTCCAGTAGAATTCAATTCGTCAGTATTTTTGCTTACATTTTGCAACTGAAACATCTTAATTTTCGTAATTGTACTATCAATAAAACTTGTTACATGACTAGGAACTGTTTCAGGCGCTGTTCCATTCGAAATAATGTAATTCAAAAGAATATCTTTAACTCTATCTAGTTTGGGTTGGCCCACCACGACTTCTTGGGACGTATAGTTATGGTCATTCAATGCGTCGGAAAATTTCGAATCATGATCAGCACATTGTTCAGCTTCTTTCCGAAGCTCAGACATTTCGCCTACATTGCTGAGGTTTGATAAATTATCCTCGTTGTTTTCCAGAGCTGTGCCCACTTCCACTTGGCAAATATGTTCTATTGGCAAGTCTAGGAAAGTTGTCTCTGTTATTTGTTCCTCTTCAAACGTTATTTCGCTTTTAATATAGTTTTCCGGAGATATGCACGTTATTTCTCGGTTGTCGAGCGGAACGTCTGTTCCAAAGAGGTCCATACCCAAATTGAAATCCATTTTTAGATCTAAAATTAATGACAATTAGAAACGTTTATCCATGTTTAATTAATTTTTGGGCCAATAATAGGAATTGACTATAACCTTTCAGACTCTTGGCCAAATAATACACACGTGTAAAAGCATAGGTAAATACACAAATTTGTACAAAACTTTACTAATAAAGGTATTTAATAATTAGGTAAACAACTATTGCCTTTGATATGCCGATAATTATTGACAATAGTTATGTGCTCTATATATTTATATCGATAGTCCAGCATTTAAGTAACTGTGTTGGTGTGTTGAAAATCATCGATTACCATCAAATTTGATAGACTAACAGCAAGTTCGCACTGAGAGTCATTTTTATATTTTGGTCCAGATGCTACATTTTACGGATTATGTATCTTACTAGAGTTAGTCGGGGGAAACAGTGAAAAGCATTTTTGTCTGAACTTTACGGTAACCGATAAGTTTTAATGTAATTTACTACAAAACAAAAAATAAAACGGTGCCAACAGGAACCACATAAACAGTTAAATATTTAATTTGCTGGCTCGATGTCTGGGTCTTAATTTATTAAAATCGTAAGTAAAAAGAATATTTTTTATATAAAGTTAAAATTTTGAATAATTATTAAGAAATGAAATACACTTGTACTTTCTTAAGGCCAGACGTTTCGTTCGCACATGACCACAAACAACTGTAACTGCTTAATATGAATTGCATTCAGAATACAGTTTGCATTTATTTAAATTAATTATACTGGTAATTATTAATTTAATAAAATACAAAACAAATTCCCATCTATCTGGGAATGAAAGATACTGCCGATCACTAAGAAAAAAATCTTTGGCATCTTGTCGATAGTTTTGGACACCACCGTCCAATGCTGTATAGTGGAAACGAGCTATAAGAGTAGCCTGCGGCTATCGAAATATCGGTAAGTCGAAAAGTTATCGTCAAATCTATAACATATGTACAAAAAATAACAAACATTTTACCGTTGTTACGAATATAGCAATGAAGACGTCTCACGTGGGAAAATTATACGAAGATAAAGTTGAAAGGAAATTTAGTTCGATGCGATTTCCGCCAAAAGCAATACCAAAACACGTTCTTACACGTACCCTTAAAATAGTAAATGATTCAAATGACGAGTTTTGGTTAAACAAAAACTCATCATGTGCGGCGCCAGTTACCTACGAACAAAGCAATGCTAAAAAGCATTCGGACGCTTATAAAAAGTTGAATTTGGCACGCAAATGTATGTTGACACGAGATTGGCATAACTTGGCTAAATTATTAACGTCCAACCTAGTCGGTGACAGTATTATTCAAAAAAGTTCATATCCTATTTTTTCAGAAGTAAGTACAATTTTGTATACCCTAAAATCTATTGCGCCTTTTACAACCTAAGACATTTGCCTATTTCATTATAACTTTGAATATATTTGCAGTACGTCTCAATCTTTTTAACCATGGAGGATCCCGAACTTTTGAAAAAACTTCAGCAGACTATATCCCCATCTGGGTCGCAGCCTACCAATAAAAATACAAAACCTTAAATTCCATAACAAATGTTAATAACTTATGCATTAAATACCGAATATTTTAAACGAAATATATGTTAGATAGTATGTTGTGTGGTCTAAAATTTATAAAAAAAATTGTTGTACTAATTGTTTAGCATAGATCTAATCTATTATAGATACTCTTTGGCAAGGGCTTTCAGGGCCCGATACCCTCGTGCTACGCGGTTGATTGCCTTTGCATTCACAAAAATAAAAGAAACAAAGTTCCTATATCGACATAGGTCAAAACTTCCCACACCCATAACTTGGTCAAATATCCTCCGATTTTCATGAGGTTTGGCTTTTTATTCATGATTTGGCCTCATTATCAATTCTGCATCCAAATCTGGCAACATTATTTTTGGTCAAAATTCATGTCAAAATGGTACCCTCAAATATCCTATATCGACATGGTACCCTCAAATATCCTATATCGACCTAGGTCAAAACTTCCCGCACCCATAACTTGGTCAAATATCCTCCGATTTTCATGTGGTTTGGCTTTTTATTCATGGTTTGGCCTCATTATCAATTCTGCATCCAAATCTGGCAACATTATTTTTGGTCAAAATTCATGTCAAAATGGTACCTTCAAATATCCTATATCGACATGGTACCCTCAAATATCCTATATCGACCTAGGTCAAAACTTCCCGCACCCATAACTTGGTCAAAAATCCTCCGAATTTCATAAGGTTTGCCTTTTTATTCATGATTTGGCCTCATTATCAATTCTGCATCCAAATCTGGCAACATTATTTTTGGTCAAAATTCATGTCAAAATGCTACCCTCAAATATCCTATATTGACATAGGTCAAAACTTCCCACACCCATAACTTGGTCAAATATCCTCCGATTTTCATGAGGTTTGGCTTTTTATTCATGATTTGGCCTCATTATCAATTCTGCATCCAAATCTGGCAACATTATTTTTGGTCAAAATTCATGTCAAAATGGTACCTTCAAATATCCTATATCGACATGGTACCCTCAAATATCCTATATCGACCTAGGTCAAAACTTCCCGCACCCATAACTTGGTCAAAAATCCTCCGAATTTCATAAGGTTTGCCTTTTTATTCATGATTTGGCCTCATTATCAATTCTGCATCCAAATCTGGCAACATTATTTTTGGTCAAAATTCAAGTCAAAATGGTACCCTTAAATATCCTATATCGACATAGGTCAAAACTTCCCACACCCATAACTTGGTCAAATATCCTCCGATTTTCATGAGGTTTGGCTTTTTATTCATGATTTGGCCTCATTATCAATTCTGCATCCAAATCTGGCAACATTATTTTTGGTCAAAATTCATGTCCAAATGGTACCCTCAAATATCCTATATCGACATGGTACCCTCAAATATCCTATATCGACCTAGGTCAAAACTTCCCGCACCCATAACTTGGTCAAAAATCCTCCGAATTTCATAAGGTTTGCCTTTTTATTCATGATTTGGCCTCATTATCAATTCTGCATCCAAATCTGGCAACATTATTTTTGGTCAAAATTCATGTCAAAATGGTACCTTCAAATATCCTATATCGACATGGTACCCTCAAATATCCTATATCGACCTAGGTCAAAACTTCCCGCACCCATAACTTGGTCAAAAATCCTCCGAATTTCATAAGGTTTGCCTTTTTATTCATGATTTGGCCTCATTATCAATTCTGCATCCAAATCTGGCAACATTATTTTTGGTCAAAATTCAAGTCAAAATGGTACCCTCAAATATCCTATATAGACATAGGTCAAAACTTCCCACACCCATAACTTGGTCAAATATCCTCCGATTTTCATGAGGTTTGGCTTTTTATTCATGATTTGGCCTCATTATCAATTCTGCATCCAAATCTGGCAACATTATTTTTGGTCAAAATTCATGTCAAAATGGTACCTTCAAATATCCTATATCGACATGGTACCCTCAAATATCCTATATCGACCTAGGTCAAAACTTCCCACACCCATAACTTGGTCAAATATCCTCCGATTTTCATGAGGTTTGGCTTTTTATTCATGATTTGGCCTCATTATCAATTCTGCATCCAAATCTGGCAACATTATTTTTGGTCAAAATTCATGTCAAAATGCTACCCTCAAATATCCTATATAGACATAGGTCAAAACTTCCCACACCCATAACTTGGTCAAATATCCTCCGATTTTCATGAGGTTTGGCTTTTTATTCATGATTTGGCCTCATTATCAATTCTGCATCCAAATCTGGCAACATTATTTTTGGTCAAAATTCATGTCAAAATGCTACCCTCAAATATCCTATATAGACATAGGTCAAAACTTCCCACACCCATAACTTGGTCAAATATCCTCCGATTTTCATGAGGTTTGGCTTTTTATTCATGATTTGGCCTCTATCAATTCTGCATCCAAATCTGGCAACATTATTTTTTTTCAAAATTCATGTCAAAATGGCACCCTCAAATATCCTATATCGACATGGTACCCTCAAATATCCTATATCGACCTAGGTCAAAACTTCCCGCACCCATAACTTGGTCAAATATCCTCCGATTTTCATGTGGTTTGGCTTTTTATTCATGATTTGGCCTCATTATCAATTCTGCATCCAAATCTGGCAACATTATTTCTGGTCAAAATTCGTGTCAAAATGGTACCCTCAAATATCCTATATAGACAAAACTTCCCACACCCATAACTTGGTAAAATCGAATTCGATTTTCATGAGATTTGTGTCTTTGTTCATGGTTTGGCCTCTAGATCTGAGCCAATGTCAAGTGGGGCGTAGGCATCGAAATGCTAGTTGAACGTATCATACAAGCATTTAATGGCTACATCAATGTCTCCACAATTGTAAAGTTAGGATATGTCGACTTACAGACTTAAGATCGTTAAGGTTATAGGAATCATACTTACGGAAAACACGGTTGTAGTCCCCTGGTTATAATGCATGAATTGGCATACGGTATGATTGTTCAATGACCAAGTCGGAAGTAGGTTGTTTCTAAATGGATATGAAGGCAACTTCGAAAGTATGCGGATCCTTGCAGATAAGAAATGCTTCCGCGATTTGTCTCCGTGCTCCATCTTGTAGCTTCTGCATGTTGTATCGCGTGGAAAATTTAGCTGTTCAGCAAGCATGCCTAATATTTCGTTAATACTGCGGTATTTGGCTGATATTCCTCTTTTTAAGCATATGGAGGTTAGTTCTCCCTTTGTTCGGCATTAAACTTCACTTAGTTTCGTATAATATTAAATATAAAGGAAATAACATTTTTACATTTATTTCATTTTGTTGAAGCCGTCCGTTGTTGTATCCAACTCGAACTGATAAATATATATAGCAAGTCTTTTAAGAATTTGATACTTTAGCGTTATCTTGGAGGTTGTTCATATTTAATAATTAAGTTCCATTAACTCACTACAGAGCTATCTCCGTATTACATTGTGCACAAAGTATTTCGTAGTTGCTTCAACCTCTTCTGTCTATCGTTAGATGGAGAATACGAGTCAATAAACTAGATAATTATATAGAAACTTAAATTTATTTTTTAAGAACGCATATTAATATTGTTTTGAATAAAATACTTGATTAAATATTATGTTTCTTTTGTTTTAGTTATAAACATGTACGTGATGATTTTCAAGATTATTTATGTATAGAATTTGTATTCATACAATGAAGAGCACAGTACCTCGCGTTTCTTATCTGCTTTTGTGCCGATTGCTCGAAACAAAAAAACTATAAGTATAAGTAATATAGTGAAAATAAAATCGAAGAACTATAACTCATTAATATAAATCTTCTTCCATTGAAAAATCAGATGTTTCTCCAGCATAGAGGGAGCTAAAAATAAACAAAAGAATGTAGTAAACATTTATGAAGTTCAGTTTTTATCATACTTGACAGCGCGACTGGTGAAGAAAACAATGCGTTTTAACTTTTTGTTGTAGAAAAAATAGTTGAATGACCATAAGCAACCAGGTTCTCCAAAAGGATCAGAGCTTAAGTCCGGATTATAGCTGTATATATCGCATTCCGATAAGGTTACTTCGTCGTCCACGGCTGACCACAATGGCTGACGCAAAACTTGGTATTGATCCCCAGCTAAGGCTGATAGGTTAGAATGCACGGAGTTCATAACCCAAGGCAAAGAAGGCTCTTTGCTAAACTCATGCGACTATAAAAACAAAGGCTGTTAAGACAAATGCTTTTTTTTTTAATTCGTTCAAACATACCTTGGCATCTGAAAAATCATAATCTGGTTCAAACGAAGCATTTAAAGTTGCAATCAAGTAAAATAAAGTTTTGCGAGAGATCGTGTCACATAAGATTACACCTTCATCGCCGGATTGACTGTTATTGCGATGAAAGTTTGGTGAAAGATCCGACAGAGTTTGAGGAGGTGATAACGCTTGCAAGTCATGGCCGTGGGTCTCAGCTGTAAATCGTTTGTATAACACCTTCTCGGCTGCAACCATTTTGCTAAATAGACAAAATTAGAAAGGTTTAGTTTAAAATATTAACAAGTACAAATTGCGTTATTTGATCATGAAGTCTTTACTTAAAATTGGTAGAAAACAAATAAAAGTTCCGACTAGAGGATACTTTATAGATAGATATAGATAGATACTTTATAGAGCCGAAGATATCTAAGGGTTCTTCTACTTCTAAGAGAATAAAATAAGTGAGTCATTGCATTGTGCGAACGGTTTCTTAACGATTGCAAGAAGAAAATAAAGAAAAACAAATAACCAATGTCTGCATTAAATATTCAGAGACGGCTCAATTTGTCTTTTGCCAATGTCAATAAGCCCGTGAAGTACTGGGATGACGAGACAAAAATAATGTTATATTATCATGACGGACCCAGCAATGTTTGGAGAAAGCCCAACACAGCGCTGGAGCAGAAAAATATATGACCAACACTTAAGTTTGGCAAGCTCTCTGCAATGGAGTGGAGCTGCATATCGTCAAAAGGTGACGAACCAGTTTAACTTGGACATTCTAAAGATTGAATTGTCAAGGAGCTACAAGCTTTACCAGGACAAGGACCCCAAACACAATCGTTTCTGTGCAGATCTTGCCTGCAATTGAAAATTTGTGAGATTTAGGAAACTGAACCCAACTTGCAACAAAAAATGTCTCATCAAGGCCTTTCAACAAGAGTGGATACAAATGCCTGAAATGACTGACCTGCATAAACTTATGCAAATGGCAAACATACTACCAAAGCTAAATTTTCTTAGATTTAGTTATATATACAATAACAATTTGCATTATAAAGACTACTTAGAATAATATTTATATGCAAATCAAGAGAAAATAGTTCAAGTCGGTAAAATATAAGTTTAAAAATGAATTTGTGTGATGTTCTATATTTTTCAAACAATTAATTGCCAAACTTTATATCTAAAAGTTAGGATAAAGAGGCTCTAATAGGTTTATCAATATGCCTTTAAGGCATTTCTTATTTTAACTCTGATCCTGATTTAAGAAATCTTAATATCGGACTACTTTGTCGATAGATCTGTATTCAATATATCTTAGCCAAACTCAACAATTGCCAACTTCCGGGTATTTCGAAGAGCAATGGATTAAGATTATAAAGTGCTAAGTTAAAATTGGTAAATATATTGAAAATTTCATACCAGGAGTAGCTTTCGATACGACCGAAAATCGTGATCCCGCCAGTTTGTATGGAGAGCGCGTTGTTGATCGCCTCGAAGCGAGAGCTCTCCAGCAGCTTCATGTTGAGTTCTGAGCCGTGAGCAAAACGTTCACCGTCAAAAAGATCTCAAGGGGTGATATCAGGCGAAGGGGACTGCCGATTAGCGAACTTTAAAAACGCTTTCTAAAACGATCAGTAAGTAATCCTAGTCAGCCAAATATAGGATGAATGTTCAGGTGAACTCTCTTTAGGCGCTGTGCGGTCTTATTGAGGCTTTCGGCGTCGTGATGTTTATCGTTTGATTTGCTCTTGATGCATGCATTGCCCAGAAAGTAATCGTATGAAGTTTACAATTTCTGAACATGGTATCCGGATGGACTGCAATTCTTTTCTTTACGGCCACTTTTTTCTCGACTTTGTAAATATGGTGGAGTCTGCACTGTTTCATTAACATTACACACTTCGATTTCAGTTCAATAATATTTTATCTCTGGCACTATTCTGTGCCGTAGATTACGTTATATATATATATATATCCTTTGTTTTGTATTTTGAATTTTGTTAAAACAAATTTTATTGTTGTGTAACCTTGTATCTTGATTTATTTACTCACACATACATATAAAGTATGTTTAATTGTGTTGGTTCATACGCTTTGTTTTTCATAAGAATATGTACATCTGTATGTACTGAAGCGTCTGTGTATACTACAAAGTTATTATATGTTTTAATATGTATGTTTAACGACCTTCGTATTGAGGATTACGCAGATATAAATATGGCGTCAAAATTTTTTTCTGTTTTCTCAATTTCTATGTAACTTTAACACTTTAACTCATAAATGTTCAGAATCCATTAGGCGCAACATATTTGAATATTCCATTTGTGGTTTAAGGGTGGAGATCATTAATTCGCACACGGTTATTTCTTAAAACTTTTTGTGAATTTCCGTATTAGCATCGCAACATGGACACAACATATTCATATATATGTGAATGGTTTTGGTACTTGGTATAAGTACTTAGAGATGACACTACGGAAAACTATCGGATACCAGTTTTACTTTAAATGTATATTATTATTTTAGTCCATTCACACTAAGTACACTTTCGGGGAACGAATGGAATTTATTGTGGATGTGAAACTACTATTGCAATTCGCAACTTTTAAAATGGCAGCCACTTCATAAAAACAGTGAATTTTAAAAAGAAATTTGCAACTGTGTGCTTAAAAAGAAACAAAAATAAATAAATAGCCGACGGGCCATTCTTTTGGAAATGCTGATAACCTCGGCTTGGTGGTCAACTCTGTGGCCTTTTGATTGAGAAAGATCGACAATGCTGTCTCTGCTGTCCGATTTCTCTAGTCTGACATTTATATAGAATAGTAGTTTTTCCCGTACCTTACGGCTTAAGGTGTTTTTTTGCCCTTGCAGCAAGTTTGACTCCTGCATCTTAGAAAAGATAACATTTGCATATCCAGTGTAAAACAAAATTAGACCGATTTTTCCTTTAAATGTCGAAAGACCAATTAACAGAAAAATAGGTGGATGTGCAACGAAGAGCACATCAGTGAGGCTCTTTTTTAAGTCTGACATGAACCCCTGTTTACCTGTTGTCTCAGGTTATTAGTGGCACAGACAAGGTGCTAGAAACTGCACTCTGTATAATTGCCTGTTCTGCGTTCATATTATCTGGACTATCTTTAGTTTTTGGTATTTGGGTGGGGCGATCTACGTTAACTCCCCAGTCGTTTATCATTAAAAGCTCCTTGACAAAATTAAGGGAAATCTATCTGCCCCTTTCTAGCTCGTGTTTTGATCATACTTGGAAGTTCCAGAAAAAGTTTGTGCTAGAGGCGCTAGAGACTTGATGAAGCATAGCTTGTTTTTTTTTTTTAATAATGCTAGTTACATGCCTTTACCTATAAGTGGTAAAACGAAAAGTTAGGTTTCGTCCGGCTTCAAAATCATTTTTAGAGATATTTGAGAACATGTAACCGATACGTTTACGTTAAATCTATAATTTTTGGATGGAAAATGGTTAATGAACGAAAGTTTTTCAACAGGCTGAATTCATTTAAATTTTTCAGATGGAAAATGGGGAGTTGATGTCTATAATGTGAAGCACAAACTTGGACCGAGCAAGGCCGGGAAATACCTGCAAGTATTTAATTTCATTTTTTTATGTGACTAGGACCGATTCTGTTCCCTATTATGATAAATACATTTTTTAGTATCCGTATTTTGAGTTAGTGGAACGACCGATAATGGAACTCAAAGGAGTAAGAACGAACTACAATAAATTTGGAACTTTGTTGGTTCGTTCTTTTGAGTGAGTTGTTCAATCGAACTTGTTCAGATTAATTCGATATTACTCCTAAAAATTTATATGCTCATTAAAAGTATCGCAATCGGATAGATGAATGAATAAAATAATTTAGTGACAAATTATAATCATATAACATTAAAAGTTGTTTCTGTGAATATTTGTTTAATATCGTGTAAATTTCATTTACGTGTCGAAATATAAGCTGGCATTTGTCGAAGTAGACAGTAAAAGCTTTGGGTGTTGCCCCAAATAATAGATACATTTTGCATTATAATAAGTTAATGTAAATTCAAGTAATTGTCATAATACATTTTAATCAAGCTTATGACGTTATAGTACAATTTCACATGAAGTCTGATATATGTTTATGAATGCATATGAATTTCAGATCACAAAAATTTGTATATAAGATGGCGGAGGGAAATACTGGAACTAGTGCTGAGGGTGCTGCCGCCTTGGCTGCCCCACATCCTAACGCCGAAGTTATAAGGGGGCAAATATTTGAGGTCGGCCCAAGATATAGGAAATTGACATATATCGGTGAAGGCGCATATGGCATGGTGGTGTAAGTATATCAAATAGACCTATACATCACTCGCACTATGTACACATATATATATGTAAATGCATACATACCGCATATTCACCCCGTTAAGAAGCTAAGTTCTGTATTGGGAGGCTTACATCAAATATAACTAAGCACTTCGGCTTAAATAATAATAACAGTATATATACACATATATTTGAAAATTTCACCTTATGTGATGGCTGCGCATGCTAAAACTTAGTTTTGGCAAATTCCACCCGCAAATGTGCAAAAATCGTTGGTATGAAACTTTTTTGTTTACCGATCTTTGGTCAAAATAATCTGAGGAGTTCATTCCTCCTTGGTGGATTCGGGGGTCAGATTAATTTTTAAGAATATTTGTAGAAGCTCATTCGAGACGTGTTTGACACTTTTGGCAAAATCCAAGTTTTCTCGGTAAAATTTTGACTCAAAGATTTTTGCGCGAAGCTTTAAATATTTTTGCAAAATTAAGTGGAGTTCATTATATATGCTATATGCTGTCCATATAGCAAATTCGAACAGCAAGTGGGTATAGCATTTGTAGGCCCTAACATTAACAGCAAAAAACGTGTCGAACCGGTGTCGAACTTGCAAACTTGCAAACTTGCAACGTCGCATCATACCTCACAGCCACACCGAGAATTGAGCTTTGACGAGAAAAGAAAACGGAAGAACGGCATAAAATGCAATCGGTATTAAAATTGCGGTTAGAATTGGTGGGTAGTAAAACTGATTTATTTTGATAAGGGGAGGCGGGTGTGGCGGAAGCTGTGAAATTAAAGTAACTTTACCTGTGTAAACAGATATTCTTGAAGCTAAATGTATTATTTGGTGAATCTAGCTCTTGAAACATAAGAGATTTACACAAAAACAGGATTTCAATAACGATGTCAATCGATCGCTTGGAAATGTGGAATGTTATCCATTATCGAAAACAACCACGAGCAACAGGAGGGCGACCCACGTTCAAGTCTCTAGATCTGATCGGTTAAGACTCACAGAACTATTTAAAAAAACGTCTGTTATATTGGCAAGCTACGTGTCAGTGGCAGCTAGAATTTCGGTATGCTTGTACACACATACTAACACATGCATACACACACAAATAGAATAACAATTGCGATTTTATCTCCTATATAAACTGAAACACCTTCTATAATTGGCAACAAATTCTGTTGCTAGTCGTTCATATTGGGAAGCTCTGTTATGCTCAGCCGTGACAATCTTTCGTTGTTTCGATATGTCCGTGATAACGCCGATAAGTTACTTAGAGTATCTTAATATCCTTCATGGGAAAAGTTCGATCAGTGTATGCAGTAAAAAAGCAAGGATTGAAAGCTCGCACTATATTGTTTTCTCTATATTCACTAACTCCTGTAGTGTTTGTTGAAGTGTGCTGTGCTCTGAGACACGTAAAAAGAAGGAACAGATGTGAATGCAGCCTATTTAATTTGAATCTGGTTTCTGAGGCAATTAACTGGCTTGTCTGTTGTCTCAGTTGTATAAGGCAGCGATCGCTCGCTGTGCATTGTTCGAACTTATAAGAGTCTAGGGCATTTATGTTTTGACGCCACATGATTGCCTATTCCTGACATTATTTGGTATTTGGGTTGCGGCAGAGACTTGTTTTCCCAATTTTTTTAAACATCATCTATTGCCCTTTGAAATATTCTTTGGGAGTCCAAAAGAATACCAACAAAATATTTACTAAGAAAGCGGGTTTTCTTTATCTCTCCACTATTACTTTGGTTATATAATGATTAAATATCCAATGTCCAAAATTTTTGTTGAAATTGAGTAGTTGTCGAGTTTCCATATATTCTTATATAACCATTATATTCTTATGGCAGAGATCGTTGACATGCCTTACTCATTTGCTGCAGACTGAAATAATGTCAGATTGCAGACTCTACCGCAAGAATATGTATTAATTTATTTATGAGTATCTCTAGAAACATTTATTTATTAAAACATTATGTTATGTCCATTTTAGATCTGCTGATGACACGTTGACGAACCAAAGAGTTGCTATTAAAAAAATTTCTCCGTTTGAGCACCAGACGTATTGTCAACGAACTCTAAGGGAGATAACCATTTTAACCAGATTTAAACACGAAAATGTAATTAAAATGCAATGTTACTATACTTGAAACAGTGTTATATCCTTAACAAGACTGTTTTCATTTAGATCATTGATATACGCGACATCTTGCGAGTAGATAGCATAGAACAAATGAGGGATGTATATATTGTACAATGCTTAATGGAGACTGATCTGTATAAACTACTTAAAACGCAGGTAAATAATTTTTAAACTAACTCTTTTCTAAATACTTTCTACTGACTAATTATTATACCCTGAACCCATTGAAAATAGCTTAAATGGTTTCTTGCTACAATTTTTGACAGCTATAAACTGAAAGATATTTAATATATATACTAATCAAGAAGGTTCATTTGCTCAAAAAACAGGATTTTGACATCAATTTTATCGTTGATTGAAAACGGCGCAAATGATCGATTATACATATAAACGCCGGTACTAACTCGACTCGGCTATTGATGCTGATCAAGAATATATTCACTTTATACATTTGCAAAAATACAATACACCCTTTTTACCCATTTTTAATGGGCTTAAGGTATTAAGTCAGAGCCCACAGTTCTCTTTAACCGACCGAATAACTTGCTTTAATAACTTAATTGTTCCTTAACCGATTTTGGTGAATATTTCTGCTGTTTATCTTATTGTGCTTAAGAATAACAGAATTAAGATTTTGGCATATTATCTTATACCTGTAAACTCTTTTATTTACAGAGGCTGAGTAACGATCACATCTGTTACTTTCTGTATCAAATATTGCGTGGTTTAAAGTATATCCATTCGGCAAACGTTTTACATCGAGACCTAAAGCCGAGCAATCTTTTGCTAAATAAGACATGCGATTTAAAAGTGCGTATATTCGTAATTATCTGCCGTATTCAATATAGTAATTCCATGAATAATACTTTTTGATTTAGATTTGTGACTTTGGTTTAGCCCGTATTGCTGACCCAGAGCACGACCACACTGGTTTC